GAAAAGGTTTTGCAAACAGTATGTTTCCCAGCAATTCACCCGTGTCCTCCTGTTTTGTTTTAAATGTGTGTAACCTTGGTGTTCCTGCTGTAAACCAAGTGCCAGGAGTCTAAATGCTATTCTTCCAATTTAGCCTGCAGACTTTAAACAACTAGCTCTGTTTAGAATTGGGTTGCATGCCAGCAGTTAAAGCAAAGCCTTATAGGGTATGGCAGAACTGGTAGTTTTGGTATGAGATCATGATAAACTCGATCAGTTACTTTAGTATCGCAAGTACATATAAGTCTCTCTCATTCACTCTCACACATTGGCAGACACAAATCAAATATGCTATATTTTTAGTTCTCTTTATATTCTGTGGCAGAGATGTTCACAGTAGAAAGAGGATCCTTGCGTGGTCTTCCCATGATGTTACAAAGCTGGTCTGTATGAATAGCATTTGTTTACTGACAGGTTATATGCAATGTATGTCTGTTGACTGTAAACAGAAGTTCCCTTAGCTTTAGTCTCATAACTTTAAGCCCAACAGGCTACCAGTGGTATGAACAGATCAGGCTATACTTATGCTGGTGAGCGTTTTGAGGATATGCAACCATTTCATACAGTGAAGCAACTACAGTGGGCCATGTTTTCAATAGTTTTGTCTTCTATTAGATGTGACTGGGAGGATAGTTCAAGTGTTAGGGCAATTAAATAGATGGGTTGTTGTAGGTTTTTTCGGGCTATATGGCCATGTTCTAGAGGCATTTTCTCCTGACGTTTTGCCTGCATCTATGGCAAGCATCCTCAGAGGTAGTGAGGTCTGTTGGAACTAGGAAAAAGGGTTTATATATCTGTGGAATGACCAGGGTGGGACAAAGGACTCTTGTCTGTTGGAGCTAGGTGTGAATGTTTCAGCAACCCTGACAACTGAAATCTAGCACTTGCATGAGCGTGAAACAACTCAGACTGACACTGGACATGGTGCCGTGGGGCACGATACATACTTAGTCCGAGAGGTGATCCCTCAGATTATGCAAAAGTCTCTGAATTGCTGTACTCTATCCGGATGCAAGTCTTTCGTGATTGTAAAACGAGTTGCAACATCCACGGACAAAACACCGACAGCGAACCAACCATTCTAAAAAAATAGGCCTACATACGAACGCGCCAGCCTACGTGGTCACGTCTATCGCAGACAGCCAGAAAACATAAACAACCCGTAGGAACCTCCCCACTCCCAAACACGATCGAAAACATGAGAGTCGACACTTTGAGTATCTCACCACAACACCTCAGGTCCCAGTTCCACAGATATATAAACCCATTATTTCTACTTCCAACGGCGAAACGTCAGGAGACATGCTTCTAGAACATGGCCATATAGCCCAAAAAGACCCTACAACAACGCAGTGATTCTGGCCATGAAAGCCTTTGACAATAAATTAAATGGATGTTTCAGATCACTAATGTTAAGAGCTGAGACAGTTTGATACTATATATGGTGCTTGTACAAATGGAGAAATTTTATTTATGACCTTGGTTTTCAGTGTGGGCTAGAAAGAATGGCTTTCTCCCAAATATATCCTGTGCTTAGCAAATGAATTCACAATGCATTGTTAAAAAGTCAGTGTACTGTTTGGAGTAAAAAGTAAAGGGAAGTGACAATTTAGTTTTGCACCAAATCTGTATCCCATTATGGGAAATCCAGTAAGTACTACATGCATATTGCCTCATACAATTGACAGCACTTTTTCGGTGGAAATATTTAAGGATGGCTGGACTGCAGGTTATTTTGCCCTCCCTCTGAATATTAAAATGAAGTCACAGAAGGAATTGTGTTCCTTGTCTGCCCTTTACATGTCATTTTTATATATATATATAATTTGTATCTTGTAATTCTAAAGATTTCAAAGGGGTAGAGCAGGCATGGGCAAAGTTTTTTGCCTTGAGGCTGTGTTGTGGGCCTGGTCGGGAGGGCCGGGCCAAGAGGGAGGACAGTCGGGCACATGCTGGGTGGGACGGACTGCTCACCCAACCCTTATGCCGGGAAGAAAATGAGACATGCAGCAATTGCCCTGATCCTTTTCCCAAATACTCCTCCCTCGATCTCTGAGCTGTCCTCTTGGCATTATGCCATGAGGACGGTGAGACAGACGATGTTAAAGAGTGCTCCTGAGGGCTCTCAACTGCTGTGTGCTTTCTTCAAGCCATCTTCCTGGTATAAGGACAGGACAGCTCACACCAACCTTATGCCGGGAGGAGGACAAGACACACAATGTCTGAGAGTGCTCCAGAAGGCTGTGTACCTTCCTCTCCCATCCTTTAAGCATAAAGATGTAGTAGGCCACCACATCCTTATACCGAGAAGACAGGGAAAATGAGAACGACCTGCTGAGGAAAACGCCCAGGGACCACATCCGGCCCTCAGGCCTTCGTTATCCCATGCCTGGGATAGAGTCAGAGAATAATAGAGTTGGAAGAGAGCCTTCTAGTCTAACCCTGCCATGCAGAGAAAGCACAATCAAAGCACCCTTGACAGATGGCCGTCCAGCCTCTGTTTAAAAGCCTCCAAGGAAGGAACCTCCACCACACTCTGGGGCAGAGAGTTCCACTGCTGAACAGCTCTCACAGTCAGGAAGTTCTTTCTAATGTTTAGGTGGAATCTCCTTTCCTCTCATTTGAACCCATTGCTCCCAGTCCTAGTCTCCAGGGCAGCAGAAAACAAGCCTGCTCCCTCTTCCTTGTGACACCCTTTTACATATTTATGCATGGATATCATGTCTCCTCTCAACCTTCTCTTCTGCAGGCTAAACAGACCCAGCTCTTTAAGCCGCTTTTCATAGGGCTTGTTCTCCAGACCTTTGATTATTTTAGCCACTCTCCTCTTGACACCTTTCAGCTTTCAATGTCTCTTTTAAACTGTGGTCTCCAAAATTTGGACACCGTATTCCTGGTGAGGAGACTAGAGAGGTACCAGGACTTCCCTTGATCTAGACACTGTACTCCTTTAGATGTAGCCCAAAATCTCATTTGCTTTTTTAGCTAGTGCGCCACACTGTTGGCTCATGCTCAACTTAGTGTCCACAAAGACTTCCAAGATCTTTTTCATATGGACTAGTTTTGAGCCAGGGGTTATGCATTCTGTATCTGTTAATTTCATTTTTTTTCTGCCCAGGTGTAGTATCTTACATTTGTCCTTGTTGAAATTAATTTTGTTAGTTTTGGCCTATCTCTCTAATCTGTTGAGGTCATTTTGATTTCTCATCCTGTCCTTTGGAATATGTAAGCAGGGATTTTCTGAACTCTGACATGACCAGTACTATACTGGCTTTGTGTTTGAAAGCTCTTTGGTGAGTTGTCATCTAATACTATAAGCCTCAGGGTAGATTATAATTATTGAATGCATACTTAAATACCACATAGCTTTGATTGGACATGTAATAAAATAGGATGCTCTGCCAATCAAATTGCATAAATAGTTGGGCAACGAATGCAAGTGAATGCAACGAATGCAAGTGAATATGGTCTGTTTTGTGTGGAGGTGAGCAGTTTACTCATTGAGTTTACTCTTTCTGGTTGTACTTTATATCAGAGATGGACACCTTTCATGGGCATAGGGGTCCATCTTGGTCTCTTTCTAGAGTCTGATGAAAGCCTTGAAACTCATTGGTGCCACTGGAAGTTGGGAACCATGTTTTGGAGGAACAATGCTTTCTGGAGGCTTCTGGGACCACAGTTCACCAGTTAAACTGGAGCAGGCCACTGCTCTGAAACAAAAAGCCAGGGGAGCATATGCTATCAACTCCGTTTGGTTGTGTTTTGATAGTTTAACACAATTGAAGCATGAGTAGCTTAACTTTTATCTACTATTCTTCTAATCTTATCTAAAGTCCGGAATGGACATTTTCAGTGTGTATCAAAAAAGTGTATTATTTTTCAGATGATATGGAAGTGTAAGTAGGAAGGAGTGAATGTCTTGCTTTTCCTCCCCCAGTGTCTTTCCTGAGGTCAATGTTGACTCGCCTATAAGTGTCTGTAGTGAGGAATGTAAACCTGAACACATATTTTCACATTGTATCATTGTACGTACATGCCTCTCCATTTTTAACAAGTTTTCTATAGAGTACGATTCCTCTATCCACAGATTTGATATATGATTTACTATTATAAATGATCAAGGGTCTGGAGAACAAGCCTTATGAGGAGCAGCTTAAAGAGCTGGGCATATTTAGCCTGAAGAAGAGAAGGTTGAGAAGAGACATGATAGCCATGTATAAATATGTGAGAGGAAGTCATAGGAAGTAGGGAGCAAACTATTTTTCTGTTTCCCTGGAGACTAGGACACAGAACAATGGCTTCAAACTACAAGAAAGGAGATTCCATCTGAACATTAGGAAGAACCTGACTGTGAGAGCTGTTCACCAGTGGAACTCTCTGCCCCCAAAGTGTGGTAGAGGCTCCTTCTTTGGAAGCTTTTAAACAGAGGCTGGATGGCCATCTGTTGGGGGTGCTTTGAATGCAATTTTCCTGCTTGGCAGGGGGTTGGACTGGATGGCCCATGAGATCTCTTCCAACTCTATGATTCTATGGTTTCAAGGAGCCCCTGGTGGCGCAATGGGATAAACCCCTGTTCCAGCAGGACTGAACATTGCTAGGTTGGAGTTTTGAATTCCAGGAGAGCACAGGTGAACTCCCTCTGTCAGCTCCAGCTCCCCATTTGGGGACATGAGAGAAGCTTCCCATAAAGATGGTAAAACATCAAAACAATCTGGGCGTCTTCTGGGCAATGTCCTTGCAGATGGCCAATTCTCTCACACCAGAAGCGACTTGCAGTTTCTCGAGTCTCTTCTGACACAAAAAAATGGTTTCAGGTATTGGGAAGGGCTTTTTGAAATGTATGCACCATGGAAATAGGGGTTGTACTCTCCTGTACTTACTGTTTATAGAATACATCTTATTATTGTCTAGTAATACAATACTGTTTTTTCTGTAACTTTACATTTTTCAACCTGTTTTAGGATGTTCAGAAAGAGAGAGAATCCCACAATTACCTCACTAAAGAAGCAATCAAGGAAAAAGTCCAAATGTATAATTCAGATGTTGTGGACAAGCTAAAGATGACATTGGTAAGACTTCTCTATGTTATTTGAAGTAATTGTGAGGGATGCACATAGAGGCCTCTTTATTTATGATTGCAACCAAGTTAGAAAATGCATTTATACCACACAATGTACCATCAGTGTTTATAACGTAAACACAAGTGTATTTGTACTTCAAATATTCCCGAGTATCATGGTCAGCTCTTGGATCAAAAGGCGGGGACTGTTGTTTTACCATTCTGGGTGAGGTGTCCCTCTCCTCCACATTATTGATCCATTATTTTGATCCACAGCCAAATACTACGCAATTGTTAAGATTCAGCAATAATGTATTACATCTGATTTAGTGAACACTTATGTATTACATCTGATTTAGTGAACACTTATGTATTACATCTGATTTAGTGAACACCAATGCCTTTCTCTCAGTCTCAATAGTGCTATTAGATCCATTTCCAGTCTAATACATTGCTACTCAAAGTGATGGACAATGAACTGGTGTTGGTCCATGATCCATCGTTTGATTCCACCTGGAGTGTTTTCAAGTGAGAAAGAAACGGTTCTAGTCAGTGTACACAAATATTGTATTGGTCCCTGGCACACTGAGAAGGAAAATGCTTGTCCCTCTCAGCAGATATCTTAAGATGTCCTAGTCTGATAGACATGTAACAAAAACATAGCAGGCAAAGGATATGGTGAAGATGAAAGTAAGCAAACTCAGGTAACAGATAGTAGTGATGGAGTGATCATTGCACGATACTGGTGAAATACCAAATGACAATTTCCTATCTCCTTTTAAAGGAGACCTTATTTACTATCTTGTAACCCAACTGTGGTGGTGCAGTGGGTTAAACCGCTAAGCTACAGAACTTGCTGACCAGAAGGTTGGCTGTTCGATTCAGCAGGATGGGGTGAGCTCCCATTGTTAGCCCCAGCTTCTGCCAACCTAGCAGTTCGAAAACATGCAAATTTGAGTAGATCAATAGATACCGCTTCTGCAGGAAGGTAATGGCACTCCATGCAGTCATGCCAGCCACATGAACTTGGAGGCATCTACAGATGCTTAGAAATGTAGATGAGCATCACCCCCCAGAGTAGGACACAAATAGACTTAATGTCAGGAGGGAAACTTTTACCTTTACCCAGCTGTAAATAAATATTTTGAAAATAAAACTTCTAGATCTGAGGTTGCGAAGATATGAGAGATCCAGCAGTTAAGGTTTTCCACTGCACTAGGGGCTAGTGCCTTATTTTTTCCTATTGGCTGTTTATTTATTTATTTGTGACGTTTTTATCATGCCCATTTCAGCCCGAAGGTGACTCAGGGCGGCATATAGATACTCAGGGCACAGGCCCGTAGCCAGGATTTCGTTTGGGGGGGGGGGCTGAGTCTGAGTGAAACAGGGTCGACCCTAGCAAACCTTTTGTATCATTACCCCAATACCCCCATGCATATGGGATATATTGAGTATGGTGATCAGATCATGATATGAATAAACATAACAGTTTAAATAATGCACCAGTAAGGCCTTTTCACGAACCACCATGAGAATTTCGGGGGGGGGGGGGCTGAAGCCCCTCAAGCCCCCCCCTTCCCCCGGCTACATGCCTGTCAGGGCAGCGTACAGATCACATTTGTTCCCTTGCTTTTCTAGGAAGTAGAAGCTAATGGCTCATGGACCACCATTTTGTGATATAATTATATAATTTGATATAATGTATTGTGTGTTTGATTCCATTGCAGAACTCCAGTGGGACATACACTGGCTTCATCAAAGTTCAGATGGAACTTGGCAGACCTGGCACAATAAAGGACACAAATTCAGGGAAGCATCGAAACAGCAACAATGAAATTGCTTTTCATTTTCCTAATGGCAACATGAATACCCTTCATATCAGCAGCACTAACACTGTTCGTGAAGTCATTGAGGCCTTGCTCAAAAAGTTTCTAGTGGTCGACAACCCTGCCAAATTTGCTCTTTATAAACGATGTCACAAGGAAGACCAAGGTATGCTCTTCTATGTCAGTGCTTGAGAAATGCTAAAGACATGAGCAGGGTACATGGATGAAAAAAGAAGCCCTATTTAATATACCTACCCTCAGGAAGGCTAACTTGGGTGATATTTTCTCTTTGACGTCTTGAGAAAGATTCGATTTAATAAGGAAATGGTGCTGATTTTATGTGACTACAGATGTAGTGTATGTAGTTATAGTTCTTCTAATAGTGAACATTTGGGAAATAAAAGTTCATGGAATCATAGACTCCTAAGAGCTGGAAGCGGTCCCAAGAGCCATCCAGTTGAACTCCATGCCGTGCAGGAAAACACATTTAAAGCACACCTGAAAGATAACCATCCAATCTTAAAAACTTCCTGAAAAAGAAAAGGCTTCCCCAGTTTTGCAGCAAAACAGTTCTTCCCAATTCTTTCCTACCTAATGATGTACACAGAAACATTTAGCTAGGGTATTTATCATCTCTTTGCCCAATCATCTCAAAAGTTGTCAGGATAAAGTAGGGGTTGAAGGATATAAATGCGATCAGTTAGCTGCAATTATTATTTTCCATGGGGTAGCCTTCTGCAGCGTGCATTAATTTTATTCCATAATGAATACTATGTGTGTATTTACTTGTTCTTTTTCCAATGATTTCTGCAGTTTATATGTGCAAACTCTCAGAAACGGAGCATCCTCTCTACTTGCGTTTGATGGCAGGTCCAAGAACAGATATGCTGAGTTTTGTTCTGCGTGAGCATGAAACTGGAGAGGTTTTGGTAAGTTGCACCTGTGCTTCTGGTATTAGGGAGGTTGGAAGCGTTTTCTTGGACCCAACTTCTTAATTTGGGCATGTTTGCCCCAATTTTGGGTCCCCAGGCTGTTCCACTTTCTCCTTCAAATTTTTTTTTATATGCATAAAGTAGTCTTGAGGGTAGAAACATGATGAAAATTATGCCCACAACTCTTAGAGAAAATGTAGGAGGCAAGGGTGGTTTTAGGAGAATCCTTTTGAATCCTGGGAAGCGCAATATGGCCCAAGGAGTCACGTACAGCACTTTCTTTATCTGTATATAAAAGTAGTAGAATTATACAAAAATCTGAGTCCATAGCTTTGGAAGCAGAAGATCATTCTCAATGCACCCATGCCATCCCTTTGGCTGGAAGATTAGATTACCTTTTCTGTTAAAGGTAAAGGTTTCCCCTGACATTAAGTCTAGTAGTGTCCGACTCTGGGTGGTGGTGCTTATCTCCATTTCTAAGCTGAAGAGCCGGCATTGTCCGTAGATACCTCCAAGTCATGTGGCCATCATGACTGCATGGAGTGCTGTTACCTTCCCACAGAAGCGGTACCTATTGATCTACTCACATTTGCATGTTATCAAACTGCTAGGTTGGCAGGTCCTGGGACTAGCAGCTCACCCCGTTCTCTGGATTCGAAGTGCCAACCTTTCGGTTAGCAAGTTCAGCAGCTCAGCAGTTTAACCCACTGTGCCATCAGGGGGCCCACCTTTTTGTGTGCTTGCTTAACAGGCAGACTAAGTTAGAACTGCCACTCTGCCCTTGCCAGTTGTGACTGTGTACCTTTCTTCCTGTATTTGAATTCCTTTTCTTTTGCAGTGGGAAGCCTTTAGCCTTCCTGAGCTACAGAATTTCTTACGGATACTGGACAAGGAAGAAGATGAGCAGTTGCAAAACTTAAGGCGACGCTATGCAGCATATAGAAACAAACTTGAAGACGCCCTTGGAGTTTGGAAACCAGGTTAAAATGCAGCCAAAGAACACTCAGGAAAAAAAGTGCATTACCAAATATCAAGTAGCATGCCAAACCCAGTGCCCAAAGCAAGAATGACTGTTCCTTGAAAACAGATGACAGTATGTTGGCTTGGTAAATTGACATTCTTTATATGTTATGTGTGCTTCATTCCAGCTGGTTGTGTGAAAACACCTTTCACAGACATTAGGAAATGGAGACGTTCTTTGCTTTAAAGCTGATTGTTAACTTCTTAAAACAAAAGATGTGCAAATGTCAGTTTATTATAAATCCAAGTGCAGTTTAAATTAGAAATAGCGTACTATTTAATATCCAAGTTGATTTGCACTATCTTTCTTCAACTATTTCTCTGTGCTTTTGCTAAACAAATTATTTTTGTATGAAGAATGTGTTTCAGATGCTTTGTAGATGATGTTTAAACTAGAGAGGGTAGAAAGCAAGTTGGAAAGAAGGTAAGAGATGGAGAAGAGAAGGATGTTGATACGGAAAAGAGATCTCGAATGTTGATTAGTAATATTGAAAAGACGGTTTAGCGTTTATATTTTGGGATTACTGAAATTAATATATTCAGTGCTGTTACTGAGATAGGTTTTAATATAAAGGAAACGGAGCTGCATAAAGGCTACATGTGGGTCATAATCTTGAATGTGCTTTTTAATAATGTTGATAGAGTAAGTCGAGGCTTGTATGTGTAAAAACTTGAGCATTATAGAATGAACCCAGAAATCTTTTTAATTCACCAGTTCTTTAAAGTTGCAGTTGAACTGGTTTTGGATCGATCCTTCACTACTAAAAAAGGAAAGTAGCGATGTTCTCTTAAGTTTATAATACTTTACAGTGCTTCCCCTTTACTATGAAACAAGATATTTATGGTTTTAATTCGTTCAAAAGTTTCAGAAGGTGACTTGGATTTTTTTTACACTGGTTTACTAATTGCAAGGTAAATAATGGAAGGAGGAAGATGTTGTATTTGACTGACTGTTTTTTTTCCTAGTACTATTTTATCAGATGTCTATATGGTAAATGAAACCAAAGAAATGAGTGTGCAATACAAATGTTTATGTCAATGTATAAACAAGACTTGCTTTTAGTTTTATGTTCACAGCCATCCAGGGGAAATAACTGACTTTGGATAACTGTAATTGATATACTGTACTTTCAACAATCATATCTAGCACCCACCACCACCCCTGAATTATTTGGGCATTAATTTAGACATTTCTAAGAAATACAAGAGGTGTTCACTAAAGATTTCCCCTGATCCACTTCCTGTGGACTGAGAGCAATGAAACTTGGTACAGCTATTAGTCCTTCTCTACATAGGTGCCACCTAGAGCCACACACTTCTCCCATCTATTTAAGCAACTGTAAACACTTCGTTTGTAGAAGTCGACAGGTTGCTCCAAAAGTCATGTTGTGACTTCAGAAATCAGAGTCTCATCATCTGAAAAATGCTTGCCCTTCAAAAAATAACTACATTGATGGAAAGAGGTGGAAGTCCAATGGTGTGAGGTCAGGTAAATAAGGGGGGAGCAGTAGAATTTCAAAGCCACAGGAGCATGCTTCCATTTGGGTAACATGTGAGTTGTGAACGGGTGCATTGTCTTGTGGAAGGCAGCCACCTTTGGTGAGCATGCCACGTCTCTTGGCTTTGATGGCCTGCCACAGTGTCCGCAGCAGTGAAGCATAGTATGCTCCAGTGATCATGGTACCCTTTGCTAGGAAATCCATCAATACTACTTTGTGCTGGTCCTAAAATACTGTTGACTATGACCTTTCCTGCTGAGAGTTGGCCATGTGCCTTCTTTGGAGGCAGTGAGTCATGATGCTTCCATTGCATCGACTGGGCCTTAGTCTCAGGATCATAGTGATGGACCCAGCTTTCATCCTGTGTGATCAGTCTGTTGAAAAAGTCCTCCTGGTTTCCATGGCACATCGTCAACAGTGCCTGAGAGCATTCGACTTGTTCCTGCTTCTAGAAAGATGTGAGCAGTCAGAGGACCCAGTGAGTGGATACCTTATGCGTGTGAAGATGGTCTTGGATGTTTTTTTTCCACGGACCCCACACTAATCTTGACATTTTGGGCTAGGTGGCGGATGGTTATGCAGCGACTTTCCAAAATGGCGACCTCCACTTGCTGAATGGTGTGTTCATCAATAGCAGAGTTGGGTCGCCCTGGAATTGGAGCTGTTTTCACCGAGGTCCAACCACATTTGAATTGATGATGCCAATTCTTGACTACATCATATGGGGAATAATCACTATAAACCTTTTTCATCTCATCAAACGTCTCCTTTGGTGTGCAGCCTTGCAAGTAAAGGAACTTGACTGCCCTGTATTCCACTGGATCCATGATCAAACCTCACACCACTTCAGTAGCTGTAAAATCAAGACCGTTATCAGTTCCGAGTTGTAAATTGTCATGTAACCTATAGAGACTTACATCATTACACATGTGCAGTTTCAGCATCCTATGATAAACAGAAGTGGCTCAGGGGAAATCTTTAGTGTATGCCCCTCGTATCTGCCAATGTGGTGACACCTGGTGGGTATTAGATGCATTGTTCTCTTGAAAAAGAGTGCCTTCATTTTAAGTATTTGGCTGCTTTACCTCCCTCAAAACATTGAACTTTGAGGAAGATTCTTGTTTTCAGATTTGCCAAGACAATCTTCTTTTATTTTAAAAGAGTTAACAGTAAATTAGAAGTAGAACTAGTTACCAAATAATCACTGGCATATCTTGTTTGGTTTTTTATTACACATAATATTGTAGTGCTTTGTGTGTCTTATTTTTATTGGAGACATAATCAAAGTCAGTGGTGTGCAGGGTGTGCATGACGTTAGTTTTTAAAATTCCATAGAAACTATGTTACATCACTAGATCAGTTCAAATATTAATGTTCCTATGTGGTAGCCATGTCCGGGGTCTGCATCCTCTGGCACGAAGAGCATGATTTTCATTCAATTTACCAGTTCCACTGAAAGATACATTTTATTATGAAGGAAGGAACTTGTTCTGAGTCAGTTTAAAAAGTCTGCAAGACTGCATTCATCCCCTATTTCCCTCTTTAAGTGGTTTCTGTGATGCATTCATTTAGGTTTCCACAGCCAGCTGTTGCATTCTTGCTACTTTTTCCCTTCCTTTCTCTAAAGGAAGTGCTACTTCCGTACTATGTTCTCATTCTTATGGGATACATACTGAAGCCACATCATAGTGAAAGTAGAAGTAGAAACCACTGCTGCTTGTTAGAGGTGGTGCTAAGCAAGGAGAGACTGTCAGCCATGCTGTTTGTTGTTTTGTCTGTTTTGTATACACACAATCTTTGTCCAAGTTGGCATCCTCAACCTGTAAAAGACATGCGTGTTTCACATTGGGTTTTTATCTCCTAGGACTACACATGGGAACAGTTCAAACTCTAAACTGGTCCTTAAGATCTGTTATAACAAAAAATTGGAACTTCGTGTTTCTGCTGTTTAGATTTAAATACTGTATCTGAATCGAGTAATGGCAATTGCCATGTATGTGAATTTTACATTTTTACTTGAACTTTGTGTTTCTTTATTCCCAAATCTTACTTTGGGCTCTTTATGTGCTAGAAGTCTTTGTAGGAAAATACAATTTGTGTGAGTCCAAACATTCTTTAACTTCACACACTGGTTAACACACCTGTTTTGTAAAGCTACAATATGAAATAATAGGCCATTGGTGACCCAATGTTTTATGGTTGCTTTTTTGAAATGTAACATTTAATTTTAGATTTGTTTTGAGGTCAGATCCTTAATCTGTCAAAGATCTTTTGAAATTGATCTTTTATTTGTTAGCATCCCAATTAAATAAGAGGAAGGCAATGTGGGGAATATTGAAGCTATGTTTGTTGTTCTTTTTGAGAAAGTGTACTATTTATTATTATTTTGGAACTCTTTGGATGGGAAACTTTCATTCCCTAAAAAAGTTCTTATTACCATCATTAAAGCTGAAGTTAACACTGATATGGTTGTTTCCATTGTTAAATCTTGGTAAGTGTCTTGTATTTTTGATTCCCAGATTGCAGTAGGAATCTAAAAATCGGTCCACTAATTTCACCTTCAAGTATGTCATGTTTCATTGAGCAGCATTCGCCGTCTCCAGGCCATAGAGAGTGCCTGGAATTCAGTTTCTATTCCTCCCAAGATAAGGCGGCATCTTTCTGGCATTTCCTTATGGGTGCCTTAAATACCTCCCCACTTAAGTGGTACCTATTTATCTACTCACACTGCTGTTTTCAAAACCTGCTAGATAGGCAGAAGTTGGGATAAAGGCTAGGAGCTCACCCTGACCCAGGCTTCGAACTGTCAACCAAACAATGCTAGTTGCTCACCATGCTACAAAGCTATGGCAATTAAATCAGAGGTGACATCCCTTAAATAGGAGCTCCAGGAACCTCTGATGCAATTTCTCCTTTTGTTTTAGCTTAACACTAAGATTAGTTATGCAAATCTAATGCACACTCCAATTTTGACAACATAACCAAAAAAAGGTGAGCATTAGATTCAAGTAAATACAGTAGCTTGAAGAACAGGTCACTGATGTTATAAACATATCTAATGTACAAGGCACATTTTTATTCTGATGAAACATTGATGAATCTGCAAAAGTACTGCAAACTGAAAACTCTTAGTATATTTCTAGGTTGTACAACAACTGAAAATAATAACTGAAACAATGATCCATATATTTTCCTTCCTGAGGGGAAAGTCCAAGGATATATCTATTTCTTTCTGCCTGAAACTTGGCTTTTGCGTAGTTCCCATCACTGCATCCAAGTAATGGTAAGCTCCAAGGCCAGCTACTAAAAATATGTGGAAGTCACAATCTTTAATTTTTCCCGACCTTTTTTTGACCAGGAACCACTTTGAGCAGGGACCACTCTCCAACATTAGTACCAAAAGGGTTACGAATCGGTCAACTTTAGATATGGTTATTTGGGGTGCCAATTCAGAAAATTGCATTGGGTGGATCACATCAGCTCTAGTTTCTGATACAGAACATATGCCATCCAGTAGTTGCCATCTGCTCACCCACAGAAAACGATATTTAATAATCTAGAGCTGATGTGGTAGTAGTAATCTTTCGTGGGTAGTCAGCCTCTCCCCTCCCAACATCCCAGTTGCCTCAGTACTATACGAGGGTTTCATGAGACCAGTTGCTTTCATTGCTGTGTGATTTCGAAGCAACGGTGTAGTAATGGTGAGGCCGCATACCATATTTTCATTCTTACGGGGCACTGGTGGTCCATGGACGACAGGTTGGGAACCACTGCTTTAAGGCAAATGTGTTTTTAACATGTTAAAAGATCAAAACAAGCAGACTTTATGGGACTTGGGCTTTGTTATGCTACACAGGCTATGGATTGAATGCCGGGTTGGGGGAGGCTTATTTTCATTTATGCCGTTTTTAAGAAGTTGAAAAATATAGCATGATTCAACATTAATCAAGATGTGGTCTGGATGTTCTGCCATTTGTGACAAAGCCATATGAACTTTGGAGCATTGTGCATATATGACATGTTTTCACAAAACCTTACAATTGTTTCTCCTCCATGCTTACCCATCAAAGAACCGGCAACCTACCAGAACAAATAGCATTTTAATTATTCAAATGTGTTTCCCAACCCAAACAAATACTTTAAAATACTCAAGCACTCCATATTTCTTGTAGACAGAATTTTAATCACTGAAAAGTGCAGCAATAATACAGGGTTCTTCAAAGGGCACTTCCTAAACAAAACACTATGATTCATGAGTTAGAAAACAGATGTGAACAGTTTGTCATACTGCATTGAGTGAACACATCAGGAATAGAAATACAGTTACTGATGAAGATGACTGACCAATTTCATCTGCCGACAGCGTTGGAACAATACTTATTCTAGATATTACCTTTTCTGTTGTACAGTAAAGAGGAAAAAGCAAATACCAATGAAAGCTGCCTATCACAAGCATTAAAAAACCAAATAGGTGCAACAGCTGTCTATTCCTCTGTGCGTCATCAAATAGGTAGACTTTCAGGATGATTTTTTTTTTTATAAAGAATTTGCATTTTGACCAATTGAAAGGGCTTTTTAAAAAACAGGATACACATCTTATGTTAATGTAGTCTAGGGAAGCATTCTTTAAGCATCACTTGCCCCTAAAAAATCGCTCGCTAAGACATATTGTTTCACTTTAATTAATAAAACTTACTTACTGGTTATCAAAACAACAAGACAAAACCAAACAGATAACAAGATCGCATTTAGAACTGAAGTCAACTCAGGGCTACTTCTGTTACATTACAGCTGCTCCATTGTGGAGAGCAGTTGTGTGCACACCTGCCTGTCACACACTTTAATTCCTATCCATTTTGACATGGCGTGATTTGTTGCCATGTTACTGTCAAGCAGGTCTTTGTGTAAAATGTAAGTGTGAATATAACTACGTTTTCTTTAAGACTAATACTCTGTAAGGCCTCTGTTGGTATCCAACAACTGGATAGCTCTTTTGTGGTAAAGTGCAATGATATGAAAGATCTTGCCCACTAGAGCACATAAGATAGGACCATTTGTAATCTTCGTTTCTGCAAAAAAGTGATTAGGACCATTGTATTTTAAGTTTTCAGCAGCAAGGATTGGAGATGGGTCTCATTGGGGTATGAAACCCAAATCCATTTGTCTTTCTCTCTGGAAACAATATTTAAAAGTTTTTTTTACCAACCCATTTTAAGATACAAGTTAATTGGATTTAAAATGTAAGAAATCTTTTAAAGACCAAAATGGAAAAGCGTGACATGTATTTCGGAGCAATCTTCAGTTCCATCTTACAAATTCTAGACTTTCCCTGAACTGAACATTGCCTTGTTCATAAGTGCATTGGGTATTTGTGAGAAATGAATTGGTGAATTTCAGCTGTCGTAATATTTTAGACAGTGGTTCTCAACCAGTGAGTCTCCAGATGTTTTGGTCTTCAACTCCCAGAAATCCTAACAGCTGATAAACTGGCTGGGATTTCAGGGAGTTGAAGACCAAAACACCTGGAGACTCACAGGTTGAGAACCACTGATTTAAGAGAAACTAGATCAGATATGGAAAAATTCAACAGTGGGAGTAAATACCTGTTAGTAGGCTTTTACACTGACTTGTATGATTACTTTCTATAGGATGGATGTTTTTAAACAAGACACGGAGCATTGTTTGTTAACTTTAAATGCTTCTCTGAGTCTACCCATACACAGCATATTATTGACATTTGGGGGGGGGGGGATCACTTGTATCTATAATCAGAAGCTGGATCACTCATTACTTAGGCTTACCAAACTATTCAGGGTCATATTTGCAGTTACCGTGGAAGATTCAAACATGGAGGAAGAGAAAAAATAACACCTTTTCCTGAAAACTAGATCAATCCCCTTCCCAAAAACACTCAGTTAGCTATGAGTAGTAGAACTGACATGCATTTTTAGTTTATAAGAACATGAATTATTTGGGTAAACAGTAAACCAGAAGGAATGCAGTTGTAATACAAAATGAAAGTTTGAGAAATCTGAATAAAAGAATAAAACTAGCGAAGATGTTTATCAATAGGGGACTGCGGATTCCGTGCTTTCATGCACAGGATCAGAGTTCACTGTAAGGCCCTGTTCAAGCATTTAATTTTGTACACAAATCTTAAACCACACATCCCCGCCATCTCATGTCACTTCCCTGGTCCTACTGACTGTCTCCTGAGAGGAAAAATAGTCTTACACCTTCTGTAAATTTTCAATCTGACTTCCAATAATCCTAGTCAATGTTACACAGCAACAATAGCAATTACTTCCTTCTGAGTCACGAGTAAAAAAATTCATAAGTTTGTTTAAGCAACTAGTGGTTATTATCTTCCAAGAAACATATAACTAGCCTTCCAATTTCTTGCTCTTCTTCTGAAGAAACTTTCACATTATTTGTGAATGCCCAAACTGATATTTGCTCAAGAGGAATTCTTCTGACACTCATCTTTTTGCACAGTCATTTCCCCTCAAATTGTACACTCTGGTACGTTTATCTGAGTACATGAACATTAGACAAGGAAGCTGCATGTATATTCCATAATCCCCTTTCAATGTTTAGATCAGTCAGATAACATAAACTTTGCAGGTATTCTGAATGAAAAAACCGCCTTGAAATGCATGCAACTTCTGATGTAATTACTTTGTATATCTAGATAGACATATTTTGAAAAGCGTCCCTAGAATCCAATACAAACATATAAGGGTGTGAGCAGTTTAGCTTTCCCATGGAACTTCACCTCAAAATTATGAATGGGGAATCAGTTACCACAATATTGTATCTGTCTTAAAATGCCTCTGTATATGGAAAGTCTTATATAGCAGAAAGAAATCCAGGCTGCAAGGCAGTGTTCACAGTGAGCACATTCCTACAAATAATGCCTTATACGTATACTCAAACGGTGCAGTCAAATGAGATCGGCCAAACATGCCGAAATATATAAATTGGCTTGAAACAGCAGCCTATGACCAACTGAAAACTAAAGTTTGTTTCTCGCCTGACTGTTGAAACCCACACAACTGATATATCCTCAGCTTTCCTTCTCGAGTTCACAGGCACAGCGCGCATTATTAGAACATTCTGGAAATAAAGTCAATTAATACTTCCTTCTTTGGACTCACATTAAGTGCCTACAACTGTTAAAAAAAACTGTATTAGGAAAGAGTTCTCAGATATCCTTACTTGTGTGTATATTCTGCTTAAATGATAAATCAGCTTATATGTATACAAAATAAATGGTCCCCAACCTGCAGAATAGCTTCTATACTGGTTGTGCACTACTAGTACACAGACACCACACAAGTGACATTGGCCTGGCATCCAAATACATTTCTATCAAGAAGTATTATAATTAAACAACTTTTCTGGATACTGATTTTAAAATGCTGATAATTTCTAAACATCCATGCAATGCTAATACCACATTCATAAACAGGCATATGATACTCAAGAATGGAAAGGAATGAACTGTTTTTTCAAGTCAGTACCAAAGAAATGATTTCCCATATTCTCAAGATGCAAGAGTTCCCTCATGCAAACTGAGACCTGTTCGCTTTTCTTTTTAAAACAATCCTCAACCAACCTTCTCACATGAGGCAGTAGAACCTCATTCCTGGAATATAGACAACATTAGGATGTTAGCTATTACTTTCCTTTTGAAAATGCAAACTGTTCAATTAAACTGTAACACTTAAAACTGTTAGTTTCTATACAATGTAGAAAAATATGATGGATGCTAATGTGCCATTCATCTTGGGGGGAAATGCTCCTTTAGGGGTTGACTTGGTTCTGAAGTGAATGCCAGAGCTGATTGTATACATAACAGGCCAATGTAACATCTGACAGTAACAGGCACACAAGTTCTAATCAGCAATTCCAGCTGAGCCCTGAAAAGCTGAGAAGAAAATGAATGACAACCTCCCTGGTTAACTTAATTATACTAGATTCAGAATACAAATGCAACCAATCCTCTTAAAAGCTTATTAGGTACTGGCTGTAACTAGGAGAAGGCCGCCTGTAGCCTCTGCCTAGATAGCTGGTCCAGCATACGACCACCTCTCCATGGAGTAAGCTCTTAAGAAGCTAAGCCTCGGTCTTTCATTTACATCAAGCGGGGAAATTCGATGCGTGTCAAAAATTAATACTGCATGTCAGGGTGAAACTTTTTGAGACTAACGTGGTAATCAGATTTGGGTGGACTAGACTGACCATGTCTTTAATAAACATGTATTGCACAAGGTGGCAACCAGCTTGAGAGGTTATTTTCTCCCATAGCCAGCTGATCAAGTCTTTCAGATGTAGTCAGAGTGGATTAGGCAGATCTTCTGCAGTCACTTTGAAAGAACAGACACATGTAGCAAGTAGGTTAGAACTATAATGAGCGGGTAAAAAGTCTGCGCGTCTGAATTCCATGGTTGCTGAACATCAGGTGTGGGTTGAATTTGTACCTGCAGGGCGGGGAATAAAAATTTAAGTAAAATTTCTCTCTGGTTAGATACACATTTTAGCACATCTGCATTATTATATATACAGTACTATTTTATATCTATATATTGTACATACACAACACACATTATATTAAAGCATTTCTATATTAACATATTAAGACTGCTTTTTAAAAAGATTATACAGGCAGCCCCCAAGTTACAAGCACTTGACTTAAAAATGACTCTTAATTTAGAACGGAGGTGAGACAATAGGAAGTGAGAGAAATCTACCCCTCGGAAGGGAAATTCACTCTTGAAAGAGTTATCATGGCGAAAAGGTGTCTCAACTGAAGCTTTATCACAAATCTGTGTTTCCGCAACAAGCCAAAATTTTCTAAATAGATATCATCTCACTTTCTGTCCCTGTGATAGTTGGATTTTGAAAATTTTGGCTTTTTGTGGAAACACGGATTGGTGATAAAGCTTCAGTTGAGATACCTTTTCTCCACGATAAGATTTTCAGGAGTGAATAACCCTTCCTAGGGGTATTTTGTTGGAGTTACACTTAAAAATGTACTTGTTCTGACTTATATACAAATTCAACCAAAGAACAAACCTACAGAACTTAGCTTGTTCATAATTTGGGGACAGCCTGCACTTTGGTTCTGAAAACAAGTAATTTAAGAAAATATGTGGAAATAAAGGTTCTCACTTCTGAAACACCTGGGACCTCTAGAAAATACTGTAATTCACCAGACAATAGTCACCACCACATAATAGTCGCAACCCCCTTTTTTGGCCTCCCTAATTGGTATTTTTCTTTTCTTCATGTGCATTAGAGCTGGCTGGGTTTAGGGTCTTCTCCCTCTTACCACCTCAGAGGGAAGATTAAAAAAAAAAACCAGATATGGAGTCAGCTGGATCTTTTTTCCAGACTCAGCCTGCTCCCTTTGCATTTCTTTTTTTTTTTTTTTAAGCTGTCTTGCTTTTGAGGAGACTAGATCTGGGGCTCTCCCTCTTTTACTTCTGAGGAGGCAGATGGGAGAAGATCCAGCTGGCTCAGTTTTTATTTCTTTTTAAAAACTGCCTTACCCTCAAGGAGACAAGAAGGAGACTGCAGATCCCCAGATCTAGCCTCCTCTTCAGAGGTAAGACAGTTTTAAAAAACAAATACAAGTGGAGTCGGCTGGGTCCGGGGCTTTGACCTCTCCCTTCTGGCTCCTCGGAAATAAGAGAGGAAAACTCCCAGGCACAACTGGCTCCACACATTTTTTTTCTTTGCATAATAGTCGTACCCCCTTTTTCTGAAGATAATAGGCGATAAAAAGTGCAACTATTACACGGTGAATTGCGGTACTCTCTAAAAAGATGGGAACCATTCTGAAATACACATATCCTGGGCTGTTGGGTGGAAAATGGGAAGCCTCTCTGTTTTCCCTTCTGCCAAATTATCTTCAGATCTAGTCTCAAATTTACTGAGTAATTTTCTTCTAAGCAAATATTCATTGTATTTTCCTTACTATGCTTATTAAAAATGCATTTGCAGCTAACTTTTCCTGAAAGTATTTACAGTAGAAAGCACACTGAAAAAAGCCTACATGAGTCAACAATTCAAAAATAATATCAACTAATAACTAAAATAGGTCAGAGCTGCATGCTTACCCGTAATCAAAGACTCCTGGAGTTCGGCATGTTGTTCCAGAACAGGACTGCAACATCATTAGTCGATAGTTCATCTTTTCTAAGATTTCTTGATCTATTGTTTTTGCAATATTGGTAATCTGATGTGGATCTGCAGTCAGGTTATAAACCTCAACGAACACCTTCAGAAAATCAAAAGTGCCAGTGATACATTTAGTTTTCACTGATTGGAAGATTGTCTAGAATTGCAAACACTGTTCTCTGCTACATGAAGGAAGCAACGCAGAAGCATTATATACATTTATTCACACACAAAATCCATTTAGTGTAGTGATACCTATAAGAAAAAGAAAGCTCCTGGTTTTGTTACTTCAGGGCACTGGATTTCATGGGAGATGCTCATGACTTTATGGGAACTATCCATGGTACTGACATGGTATTATATAATTTTATTCATCATCCTTTTAAAAACTCAAAATAATTTGTATGTGCTCTCAGAGGTCTCCCACCAAAGAGCTAGCTGGGTTTTTACATGCTTATTTATTTGCTGCATTGATTGATTTGTTTCCCACCTGAGACTCTAAGCAGCTTATAATAATAAAATAGAGCAATACAGAGTACAAAAATTTAAAAAATAATTAAGCCATACATTCAATTAAAATACTACTTTTAAAATATTAAAAATCGAAACAATTAAAGTACATTACATACCCAAAACTGCAAACACGCAATTCCTCTCTGCCCAACTAAGGCCAAATGCCTGTTTAAATAAGAAGGTCTTGTGCTTGTGAAAAGATAAAACATAGGGAGCAAACTGAGTCTCCCTCAGGAGGGATTCTCAAAGCCTAGGAGCAGCCACTGGTAAGGCTTTCTGGTGTTCTCACTTGCCAAGCCTGGGATGGTGATTCAATGGAGAGAAAGCCCTCCCCTGAAGATGGTAAGATTCAGACAGGTTGCTTAGTTTTAGGAAGGCCCTTAGCATAAGGGTAGAAAGGCACAGTTGAGCCCCATAACCAATTGTAAAGAATGCAGTGAGGTGCAGTTCGATATCTGGAGAGCTACTTCTGATTCCACTTCTGTTGTAGTGAAGTGTGAGATTCTTTCCCAACTATTTCTGAGGCTGAACCAGATTTAATTATTTAAACTACTCTAGGTATAGTACAAAGAAAATGACAATGTTTTGGGCCGACCTTAAGCCACACTAGTAGGTTTGAGTCAGGTCAATCGTATAATAAGTTCAGGAGTTCTAACAGAAGCTTGGTTTCACCTAATTAATGAACTTCCACTTGTATGCATAAAATTGATAAGAGCTTCAGTGATCAAGAGGACTTTTTTCCAGAAAAGCAAGAAATGATAGACTAAACATACAACTGGAGATTTATTTTTAAATAATCACATGCTTTATCTTGGTACTTCAGACAAAACCTGCATGTTTTGTCTATAGTAGCAAGATAAAGCGTTTGATTATTTCAGAAGAGAACGTAGCTTACAGAGGTCATTGACAAATCAATGTTGGACCCTTCAGAGAAGTCACAATATATTTGAAACGCAAGTTAGATTTAGGCACATGCAAGTGGATTCTTTGTGCCCTCCTCCACTTTCCTGAAATTGCCACACAGAGGATGAGAGGGTCATCTAAAACTCCGGAAGATGGTGTCTGAAAATCAGATGGCAACATCCTGAGAAGAACTAAATTCAAGGACTGTGCTTTCACCTGAGTTTGACAACTTAGCCCTGTGCCTCCCTGCAATATTTTAAGAGGGATAAAGGAGCACCTGCTGGTAAGCTGATATAGGAAAATCCTACTTCTGTCAGACTTGATTGGGGTGTGTATGCAGGACTACAGATGTAGACAAACTGTAAATCCCAGTGCCCCAGTTAGCAGCGCCAATAGAGGAATGAGGAATGTTGGGAGTTACAGTTCAACAATATCTAGAGAGCCACACCATTTCCACCCCTGGCTTTGAGGTATGCACCCAAGTATGGATTCACATCTTTGTAATTCACCTTCGCCACCAAGAAAGAGAGAGCCGGAAAAGAATAAAATAAGCAATTTTGCACTTTTCAAGCCCTCAATTTCAACACACAGACAGAAAATCAGCCTCATGATAGAACAAACTGGAAGTTGTTAGGGAGCCAGCATCTTACTAATGAGATTTTAATTTTGCTTCTAAAGAGAGAGGCAAGTCATAAAATCCTCTTAAAGCCAATTGTCTTGGCTCTCTGTGTGGAAATGCCTTCTCAGTTACCTGAATTATTCCAATTTGCAAGCGAACAGGTCACGTAGTTCAAATTTCTCATTAAATAGCACTAAGTGGGCTACACTTTACAACCAGATATACATTTTGATTTTGTCTCTCACACTTTTGGGTTCGATTTTGTCTGCAGCAAGCGGCTGTGTGTCTTAGGAATATAACCAAGATCTGCCTACTGAGTTTCCTTAAGCCTTAAATACACTAGCTCTTTAAAACCGAGAAACAGAGATACTCTTTCCAATTATTTTTTGCTAATACCTGTAAAAACTAAATGATACTAAAACTAGATATCTATTTCTACTCCTAGTCTAATAGGATGGCAACTCTGTTTGCTCAGCTGAAAATCTGCATCAAAAATTCCCATCAATATGAAAGGAAAATAAAGACAGAAAATAACCCTGCATCTAAATCTGAATGCAACCCTCACAAAGCTGTTTTGTGGCCTTTGAATCCTCTAGATCAAGGGTCCTCAAACTAAGGCCTGAGGGCCAGATACGGCCCTCCAAGGTCATTTACCCGACCCTCGCTCAGGGTCAACCTAAGTCTGAAATACCTTGAAAGCACACAACAACAGCAACAATCATATCTCATCGGCCAAAAACAGGCCCACACTTCCCATTGAAATAGTAATAAGTTTATATTTGTTAACATTGTTCTTCATTTTAATTACTGTATTGTTTTTAAGGGGTGTTTTTGCATTACAAATAAAGTATGTGCCGTGTGCATAGAAATTCATTCATCTTTTTTCAAATTATAATCCGGCCCTCAAACAGTTTGAGAGACTGTGACCTGGCCCTCTGTTTAAAAAGTTTGGGGACCCGTGCTCTAGATAGTATCATTTTACTGATCAAACAAAGAGAGGCAGGATTCCTCTCTCAGAAGCCTCCAGGTTACAGGTTCACTTTGCCCATTCAAAGCACTCATCTTTTTTTACAAATATAGGAGTGAACTCATGGAGATTTTCTTTTTATGTTCTGGCAGTCTATGTGACTCATGGAAGATCTCAGAGGCAGAAGGGTGGCCCCTAGACCCACTGCAATTGCCCACTCAATTGTTTGGAATGAGAGAGAAGACTAAGTAGGGACATTTCACAAAAGTTCATGAGGCAGAAATAACCAACTGAGTCTATATAAAAGGACAAAGGGCAGTGCAACTTGTATTACATTTTATCAACACAGCGCCTAAAATCTATAGGAACAGCTCATATTTTCTTACTCAATCTCAATCTTGACAAGTTAGTAATCACTCTTTCTTTAAAGCCTTGATAGCTACATAATTACAATAAATTAAAGAGGAGATAACATGCAAGATTTGATTCAAATATGGTACTATGAAAAATCTTTAGGCAAATTACCTCACGATCATCAAATTCACAGTACTGCAAATCCCATGAAGATGATAGTGTCCTTACACATGCATACGTGTTGTTATATGCATCTTCACAAACACAATCTGGAAAACAATGCTGGGTGGGGACAGAGAGGAACATTACACTGGTTTTCATTAACACACAAACAATGTTGACTACTGGAAGAGATTAACAGCCTACATTAGCACCAGTCCAAATACAGAACATATCCAAGTTTTATAGTTCTTAACATAAGCCTTTTCTTTCATCCTATCTCATGTTCAAACTACAATACCTAATCTTTCGCCACAAACTCTCATGAGATCCAAACTTCTGTATATTAAACTACTTACAGTGACACCAGGGCCAAGAGCAGGACAGGTAGGATCAGTGCTGTTATGTCCCTCTCCTTGATACTCCACTAAAACATCTGATCTCCAGGTCACATTTGCATCTCCTCTCTAAAAGAAAAAACAACATTAACACATGTTTGGGTTATGTGTTTTTGTGTGCTCATAAACGAAGTGGAATGTAAACTTCTTAGATAAAAGTGTGTCTAGCCATCATAGTTGTTGAATCTAAGCTTGAACTTGTAATAACAAAAACAAGGGAGATATGTACACTACTCCTTGTGCTCAAGAACACGATGCTAAAACAGACACCTTCCTATGCTTTTAAAAAAACTCACACAAAATTTAACATGAAATGTCTTTCTTATTTTTTCCTCTTTCAGGGACTAGAACAGAGGCAGCTGCATCAATACTCAATCTTTTTCACAAAAAGGCTACATGTGATCTTCCAGATGTTGCTGGGTGTCAAAACTCTATCCAAAATCATTATAGCTAATGGTCAGAGATTCTAGGAGTTTAAGGCCACAAAACATCCTGAGAGCTTCAGGTTTCCTCAATTCTGTTTTATTAGAGAAGTAACTTCTACTCAGGTAAGGTACATAGGAAGTCACGTTATAAGATTTCACGACTATTTACCCATATGTTTTCTAAACATCCTCATTAGGAAATGTGGATATGTTATATTCGACTTTTACAATCCAAATAATATTTTTTAAAGTTAGATGCCAGATAAAATATAATTTGTGTTTGCTTGGGAGTTATTATTCAAAATTGGCCTAACTAATACCACACCATGAACTCTGTGTTGACTCGATATTAATGTTGAAATACAGCAATAAAAAGTAAATTAAGACTTATAAACACAAACATTTAATGTAATGCTTTAGGGTGTACACTGTATTGTTTATTTATGTTTTTGTTGTTATGTCTTAATTGATTGTTTTTGTTTTTATTTTATTTTGATGCTTAATTCCTTGTTGGAAATTTTCTATTGTTACTCTTCATTATTTTGTATTATTTGATGTTTCCACCTATTTTGAGACAATGAAAGTTTGCCTTTTTACATGTAAATTGCCCCAAGTCTCTCCAGTGAGAGAGGGCGGTTTAGAAATAAAGATTTTATTATAACTTAATATAAGTTTTACTGTATAATAAAAAGAGATTTCTGAATGCAAAAAAAGTCACAGAAGTATTTATTGCCAGCAATTTTCCCGGGTTTTCAAGAAGCCGGGGAGATCAAACCAGAGAGATTCTGAAAACATTTGCTTTATCACTACAACATACAGCGTTACCCTTATCAATAAGAATAAAAAGTGTTGTGGAAATAAACTTCTAAAGGAAGTCACCTGAATAATCATAATATAATATGTATACTTACCAATAATGGCAATAATGACATGCCATCCATTTGTGTTTTATTCAGATCATAGCCTGCAATATCTAATATAGTGGGGCCCAAATCAATGTTTGCCACAAGCATCTAGAAGGGAGGAAACACAAAACATGGGGTTTTGATTTAAAATTAAATGGAATAGAAACATGTTCTATAATACCAAATTACAATAATTGTCTTCGATTGCTTCTGCGGCACGTGCACACTTCCACACTTTTTCTTCTAAGAAATTCCTTCTCTCCACTTACGGTGGACTACTTCAATTTACACTGTAGAATCTTAACATGTAATGCACAGCTTAAAAGCACCAATATACCTTGTTTGTCTGGTTGGATTTGACTCCTGGTCCTCGAACCAGCAATGGAACTTTAATGTCAAACTCATACAACTGTCGCTTGTCAATAGGCAAAGAAAACTGACCTAAGAAATAAAAGAAGAAATTCTGCCATTTACAATTTATAAGATAACATTATCACTTAGGGAAGACATAATTTGGTACATTATTCTCTTAAAGTTTGGTGCATGCAACCTCTCCTGTTGCTCACCAAAATATTGGTAAGTGTCTCTTTATTAGTTTTAATTTAAATCTTATAAATTTGACAACAGATTTGGGTGGCAAATTATTTTCAAGGTGCTAATTCCATCTGTTCACATAGAAATCTTAATTTCTTTTTTGAAATGGTTCTATTGCATAAATAAAATATCTATGTTAAGTCTTGTTACATAAAAAATATATATACAAAACACTTTATAGACCATTTACCTGTATGAAAACCATTATCTGATGTGTAAAAAATGTAAGTATTATCCAATTCGCCATGAAATTCCAGCCTCTTCAGAAGTTTTTCTATCAGATCATCCACTGAAAGGAGCGTCTGCCATCTAAACGTAAACAAGATTGCTCAAGATGAACAGAGTCAACAATATATGTACATGCATATGTAAGGTGGTATTTATATCACATCTCAAAATAAACATTATATTAAATTTTTTAAGCTTGGTCATTTTTTCTCTTTGAAATGCAACTCCATTTAGTTTTCGCAGCACTGCTCTACCTTATATTCTTATCTAGATAAACACAGGAATATATAAGAGATCAGAACTTGGATTAACTCTCAACTGCTTTTGAAATAATTACTACACAGATTTAACTATAATACTGACCTATTAGAACATAACATGTTATTTATAGTCTTCCTGCCCAATAACATGTTGTATCAACAGCATTATTTGTTTAAAAGTAATCGCATTTACAAGGAAGTCTGGGGTGGTATTCTCATTTTGGCTTTTGGCTTATTCACAAGAAATAAATGGAGCTTGCGGCTTGTTTGCTCCAACAGAGAATAACTAACAAGGAAGCTCCGCTTTTCTCCCTCATGGGACACAAAGCAACTGACAACATCTTAAAATCATACAGATAAACAGACGATTTTATTACATTTTGTTGCTCCTTTGGAAAGGAGAAGCCCACCTAGATTCTTATTTGTTTATTATATGTGAAGGTAGCTTACTCTTCTTGATGCTTGCAATGTTGTGAAAGTTATTTCATTTTCTAGTCTGCACGGTTTACACATCCTGAAATGTAATCAGCATCAAAGGAGTCCTTGGCACTACCTAACTGCAGTACAGTCTAATTATTTTACCAACCCTGTGGATTTGGCTTATCCCTTTTGGCAGCAACACAGACAGCAGACATCCTTGAATACAGGTGGTAAGCAAAGCATCTGACTGTTCGGTTGACCTTTTCACTAAACAGTATGAATGGTGTATGTTTTCATAAATGGCATCTCATGTCTGTATAAACTGAGGCTTATTTCATTACTCAGTCCACAAAGACATATTAAAAGCTTGCACTTGAGGACTTTTTGTATACTTTGTTTTGTAAAAACTCTTTAAAAAATTCTTATCTTTCTTACCTTTTCCTAAAAGCATCATCTAGGAATTGTATTGATGAGTTTGTCATTGGAGTCTTTGCTTGTCTGATGAGCCAATGTTTGTCCTATAAAACACACAATAACACTGCTGAAGATTACTCTCTCACTTTCCCCCATGCCAAAGAGGAACAGTTATATAAAGATCATTAAAAGGAAACAGTCTACGGAATATGTGAAACTGTTTTATTCAGATTACTTCCCAGTAAAACAGAACAGGATAGGATTGTGTGGCTCATAGCATGGACTATGAAAGGCTTTGATCAATAGTATCATTTTAATTCAGATAATGTACAAACAGTGCAAACGAATAAGTGTCTACTCAGAGGTAAATCTGCCTGCATTCAGTAGGGTATACTTTCACATAAGCAGGAGATGCAAATAGTTTAACGCTTTAGCTTCATTGGTACCACAAATTAATGTTATGAACTTTATATAAAATGGAAACGCTGCCTTCATAACAGTCAGGAACTAAGACAAAAGAGCAGCAGTTTTTCACCAGCATATCATTTTTATTGCTATTGATACTTAGTTTTTTCCTAGAAAGTAATCTAGCCCCAAGGAGTACAATTTTCCCCTCTAGAAGCTTTGATCATATTACTCTGTGGAAAATGATTTATCTGAATATAAACAAATTGCAAGGAGGTGAAAGAGAAAACATCAGAGCCAGTTCAAGACTGTCAGGGTTACAAAAGTAAGACCTTGAACTGGAGAGAGAGTAGAAAAAGGCAACACAGTAAAAACAGTGAAAACCACATTATTCACAACTCAAGAGGTAGAGAATTCCATGGCCTTCATTTTCATCCAGAATCAGCAGAAATGGCACTAATCTAATCTGAAGGCAACACCATGAATTACATTTTTTTTCAAAAATAATGTGCGTCAGTACTTGCCCAGCAATGATCTGATACATTCTGCAGTACAGTGAAACATTTCAGTCTAGCCAAGATATGCTTCTATTCAACAACAACTGAAGAACACTTTTAAGACAGTCTTCCTGGGGTCTTCCCACCAATATCTGACATCATTAATTATCTGTCTTTTAGATGGAGCCATTCAGGTTCTAAAAACCTAGTTATTCTGATTAACTAATAATACAATTCTATACATGTTGAGTCAAAAGCTATCCAAATGTGTTCACTGGGACATCTTTCCACATAACGTTTGTGTAAGATTGCAGATTAAAGAACCAGAAAACATTAAAACTTTTATTATAAAATTAAAGGCAAGTAAAGGTGGTGCAGTGGGTTAAAGCGCGGAGCTGCTAAACTTGCTGACCGAAAGGCCACAGGTTTGAATCCAGGGAGCGGCGTGAGCTCCCGCTATTAGTCCCAGCTTCTTCCAAACTAGTAGTTTGAAAACATGCAAATGTGAGTAGATCAATAGGTACTGCTCTGGCAGGAAGGTAATGGCGCTCCATGCAGTCATGCTGGCCACATGATCTTGGAGGTGTCTACAGACGTTGGCTCTTCGGCTTAAAAATGGGGATAAACACCAACCCCCAGTCAGACACGACTGGATTTCATGTCAGGTGAAAACATTTACCTTTACTCTTAAAGGAAGTTGAGTGTCCAGTTTTAAGTAAAAAAATATATGAAGCCAATATATTGATTCTATACTGTCATCGCCTGTAGATTTGAGCATACAAGTGGCAATTCCAATCCCAAAGGACATGCAACCATTCATATGAGGACAAAGCACATATGCAGAACAAGCATAAGAACTGCAAGCATCAGAAACAAAAAAACTGAACAGAAATAAAAAATAAAGGGTTCTGTTATCCCATAAATAGTTTCAAAACACAATACATTACGAGATAAAATGACAAGTGGAAAAAAAACCTTCTGCATAAAACAAGTTCAGATCAAGGGAAGAAATAGTCCAACTACATTCTCCACTGGCCAGGCCTGATCCGGAGTACCGTATCCAGTTCTGGGTTCTTCATTTTAAGAAAGATATCAAGATGGAGTGCAGTGAAAGAAGGGGTATGGAGAACAAAACATAGGAGGAAAGATTGAAGCAGTTGAGCATGTTCAGACTAGTGAAGGGAAGGCTGAAAGATGACAGATTGCATTCTTTAAATATCTGAAGGACCAACACAAAGAGGAGGATTTGTTCTTTGCTGCCCCAGAGGGTAGGACCATGTCTAATGGTTTTAAGTTATGGCAAAAGGGGTGGTGGTAGATTTTAATTGACCAACAGAAGGAACTTGACATTAAGAGCAGTTCCACATTAGGACAAATTACCTAGAGAAATCGTGTGGGGTCTCCTTCCCTCAATGTCTTCAAAAAGAGTCCAGACAGCTATCTGCTGGGAATGTTCTAATTGAAGATCATGCATTGAGCAGGTCTGTGACAAGTCTTCTATGAATCTGAGTTCATCTGTTACAGGCATGCAGCCCCCTACCCACCTCCATCACAAGCAGAGTTAGTGGGGATGAGAGAGAGGATGATGACCCCCCCCCCCCCCCCCCCCCGGCTCTGGAACTCTCTACCCAGGGAGATTAGATTAGCCCCCACCCTGTCCATCTTCCGGAAAGACTTGAAGACTTGGATGTTCCCATGTGCCTTTGAATAATGGTTCAGCTACTGATTAAGTCTGCCTATTCCTAATTTCCTGGCTGGATTGCCAGCACTTTATTCCTGGGTCCGGCCCTACAGTTTGTGTTTGGACAAGCCCTTGTCCTGCCCTATTAGTCTCAAATCTGCACATGCCCACTTCTCTCTGCTACTGGCTGTTTGATGTTTGGTTCATGTTTTATGATCTTACATTTTATTGGTTTTATTGTCTTGATATATTTTATTGTTGTATGTTTTTAATTGTGTTATTTTGTAAAATTTGTTTATCTTGGGCTTGGTCCCCATGTAAACTTCCCGAGACCCTTCAGGGAGATGGAGGCTGTTGCTGCTGCTGCTGCTGTTATTATTATTATTATTATTATTATTATTATTATTATTATTATCCCCCCCCTCTCTCTCGCTCTATATATATATACTTGTGTGTTTGACTCATTATAGATTTCTGTGGTTTTCAGAAGAAAATCAAGATTATATAACAATGGTTAATCAATATATCTGTAGGGATCAAAAATACATACCTTCCCATGGATATTAAAATTACTGTTTCTTGGAGCACTGACATTTGCAAAGTTCTTCTTATACTGGGGCGCAGCTACCCAAGGTGAGTGAGGTGCAGGAGTTGCTATCATCATAAAGAATGGTTCAAAGTTGGATTTATACTCAAGAAAATCCAATGACATGTTGGCCTGAAAACAAAGATAAGCTTAAACCTCTGAATAATGGTTTCCTCAAACAGTTAAACAGTTGTCCAGTTAAGGAGAACTAGATGCTGCTAAAAAGATTCCTAAGTTACATAGTCATGAATAATTTAAACTGTTGAATTATTTTGAGAGTGCCTACCTGTTATATTTTCTTTTCAATATAAATAAACAATTGTGGCATTAGGAAGCATTGCTATATTCTCAACTTAAGTTAAGAATCTTTAGATGTGGTGCCAAAGAAAAACAATCTGCGATTACTACTTCAAACACTTAAGATTCACAGTATTCAAATACAAGCAGTCACTTTTTTCCAACACTAAACTATCTTAATTTGGACCAAGGACAAGAACACAAAGCACAAAGTCCTTGATGATTTACACAATAGTATATCTATCAGTGGAATGGTCACTACAAGCATGGCAAACCTACTTTCAAACCCAGCTTCTAAACCGTTTACGAATAAAAATGGCACTTAGACATAATAAAAATTGTTATTTCATTCCAGAATACAGCTTGTTACATCATTAGGCTGTGTTGTGATTACATAAACTGTCTAGTGCTTGTCACCATTTATAAAAGGCACTGCATTTTAAAAGGCACTGCAGAGAAATAGTAATTGCTTGTTATTTAAATCTTCTTTTCAAAGTTAACAATAAGGACCTAGATATAATTCAGCACCTTCAGAGCAAATGGGCATTGCACAAATATTGTATCAGAGCTAAATCCAGGCAAAGGTATACTGTAGTTTAATATATAATGCGACTTCAGTATTCCGTAATGCCCACTGTGGTAACTCTTCCTCCAAATAAACAAATACATGGAAATCAACTTGCTAATACCAAACCATTGATTCAATGGTGCCTAGGATAGCTCATATCACCTACTGGATTTAAACCATTTTAACTGTTCACTGTTATATCTCCCTTCCATTTCTATGCCAACCACATTCAATTCCCCCTCTAGTCCTCTTATAACAGAGCAAAGGACAGTACAAGACCATGCTGTTATCTATAGACTGTAGACTGCAAAGGCTTATACCATAATACATTTGTAATCTAGGTCTAGAGCCAAACAAAAATAGATCTCGGTCAACATACTTGTTGAAAAATTCTTACCAGTACATCCGTCAGATAATCAACACTGTAATTTTCACCATGCCTCCGTGGCTTTCCATTTACTGAAAGTGTGTAATTGTAATACTTTGAATTTTTTTCCTGTAAAAAAACACCCATGTGCATAAGAAAGAGTTTGTGAGGCTGTTGTCAGCATATATTGCTCTATAGCAAATTTAAATTCATACTAGGTCCCACAAGCAATACATTTTAAATACAAAGCATCTTAGTAATAATGCATAGGTAATACTGGATATATACTAATAAGCAGTTATAGTTTTTAGTTGTTTGTTATTAGACCATAGGCTATTTGCATACAAATAAATACAAACAATGAACAGTTATAAACCATCAAACACTTACAGATAATCAGCCAGTCTTTGTGATAGTGCCTTAACAAATCCAAATTGATTACCCTTGTGCTATAAACACTAGTGGCCTCCCTACTGCTACCTAGTGAGTTTGCAGAAAATGCAATATTTGAAATGCGAACTATCAGCTCACTCTGAATGTCTACATTACAACTTCTACAATTTTGCTACACAGAAGGATCAGATTAGTTGTTCAATCTAAAGTAACATATTCTGAAAACCACCTTTAAGACCCTTTAGAAATAAAAATGATTCACACAAGCAGAATCCACGTGAAATCTTAATGATTTCGCATTAAACTGGACCCAGACGTGAACAGAACTCTGAACTGGATATCATAATGAATGTATAACTGAGGGGGGCAACTTGCCAGTTCTTGCTTTCTCTTATAGTCCCATAAATCTGTTCCAAGAGACTGGAATAGGCAGAAAATCATGCTAAGTGCTACTGCTAGTGAAAACGTTTCCTGAATTTAGCTCGATTCTCTGAAAGCAAGGACCTTTCTGTTCACAGACACAGCAAATCTGGGTCCAACTCACTAGAGTTTAACTAACATTTTATAACACAAATCTGTAAACAACTTTTAGCACTACAAAGAAAATTCTAGGATGACTACAGAAATATTAATATAGTTGTTTAAATGTGTGCCTTTCGGCCATATCCAAATTATGGTGACCCTAAGATGAACCTATTTGTTCAGCAGTGGGCTGCCTTTGCCCAAGGTCACCCAGGATGCTTCCACAACTGAGCAGGGAGTTGAATACTGCCCACAGGTCCTAGTTCAACACTCAAGCTACTACATTACACTGTCTCTGACACTACTATGCCATACTAAAATATATGTATTTTTCAAACCCTTTTGCTTGACAGTTTGAACATACAGGGAAGAAGTCTTGTTATATCAGTTTTTTTCTATTTCATACAATGCTCTCAAATAGCTAGTCATCTTTTCCAAAATCACTTATTTTTAAAGTATCTATTAATTTCTCATTGTTCAGAGATTCTCATTAAATGGCCACTGCCAACCACCAATAGCAATTTGATTCATATTCTCATTTTATGTTTTTTTAATGAAAGAATTATAGCAAGATATAGTTATTAAACAGACACTTACCAAGGCATACCAAAAACTCCATCCAGGAGGAACATGGCCAATTCCTCCTGCATCTTCTGCTCCATACTGAAATTAAATGATCCAAGATGAACTCAGTCACATATGGTTTTCCAAGTAGGAGTTCAGTCTAACCCAGGTATGGGCAAACTTTGGACTTCCAAGTGTTTTGGACTTCAACTCCCACAATTCCTAACAGCCAGGAGGCTGTTTTGAAGTCCAAAACACCTGGAGGGACAAGGTTTGCCTGTGCCTGGTCTAACCCATGAACAGCCATTGCCCAATGGATCCACCCCAACTCAAAAGCCCAAATCAAAGTTTAAGTTTTGCTCGTTTGGAAAGTATCTTATATAGTTGTAAAGGATAATCCACAATTAAATGATTGCTGTCTTTGGGATTTTGAAAATTATGCCTGAATTCACAGGTTCCATAACTTGCCCTTTTCCACATTACAGGATTCATTCCCTTTTTGAGAACAGCTCTTTTTTCTATTCCACATAATGCTTCAATCAGCTAGTCAGCTTCGTATTTTCCGCTAGTTTTTAACAAGAACACACTTCACTAGATACCTGCCCACACACACAGTGAAAGCACTTTGGATTGTATATAGTGCCAAAAACAGCAGGGAAATTCAACTAAATTCCATAGGTTAAAATTATCATTCACTGTACTACCAAAAGATAGCAAAGAACAAAAACATACATTTATTCACAATCTTTAGCTGAGAGAAATAGCAAGAATGTGATTATTCATACTTTCGATACTTTTTCTTTTCTATAACAATACCATGCCAAGGAATCAATTTAAAATATATATGGACCAAGACAGTTGACTGTATCTAGTTTTTCTTTCTTTTGCTTTAAACTGTACTAGATGGCAAAGTAATTAATCTGCTGATGCCATATACCATGTACAGCTTCTGCATTGCTGAACTACATGCCGTGCTCCCAAACCCCACAGAACTCATCATAATCTAAAAGGACCACCATATAAAAGTTATGAATACTCTTCCCATACAGACCATGCTGTGCAGTGCCAGCTTTGTACTTATACTTTTCAGTTACAAAGAGTGTAAAATCCCATGACACTAAATTCTTTTTTACAATACTCCCCAGTAGCTAATGTGAAGCAGCCACCTTATAGTGCTTACATGTGAAACTGTATCATAGTAAGAGGTAATTGTAATTGACAGTTTTAAGCATGCAAATATCTATGACAGTTATTACACTAGGTTTACTATATTGATACACTTTTAGTGACAACTATATCTTAAATCTCCTTTTCATACTGTAAATTCCACTTTTCTTTTCTTGCAGTCTACAGTGATGTTTTCACAGTCAGCAGCATATTTTACAAATTCAAGAAAGCACAGCATAGAATAATAAGCAGAGCTATATATACCTCATTTAAATACTTCCCAGCAAAGAATGTCTGATAGCCACATACAGACTTCAAAATAGCTGGAAAGGTATATGGTTCCTGAATCTTCTGCCAGGATTTGCTGCTGCAGTTTCCCTCCAAAGTGTTATTGACAACATGGTGATTATGTGGATACTTCCCTGTCAAGATGCTGGCTCTACTCGGACAGCATAATGCACTGGGCACATACTAGGAAAAGAGAGTTAAAGAACACAGAAAGTAAACAACCAGTAATACTTGGCATAATCAATAAGCTTGTTGACTTTCCTGACTATTCAGCTCTTAATTGGAATTGAAAAAATTTAAGAAATTTTAATTCTTATTCTAGTCACCTTGACACAAGCATGAACAAAATTACTAATGTTGGCAGTTTACTAGGAAGAAGCTGAAGCAAAGGCATTACTATTTGATAACCTACAAGAACAGTTTGGATTTATATTACAGCTTTCTGTTTTGTTTCTAAAAGTGCTCAACATTGAAAATTATAATGTAGCATAGCATATAAAACAAGCACAGAACCTCCTATGCAAAACAATAACAAAATAAATAATATACAACAGATTGTGGCATTTTAGAAGCATACTGTTAATCAGTTAGGAAGAAGGGCCACTAAATTATTCAATAATATTGAAAAGGGAAACAATTAAATGACATTTAAAAGGGAGCCATGAATTCCCCAGGACAGAATTACATATCTGAAAGACATAGCACTCTCCCCTACATAATGATGATGCCTAGGCTTGCATATTGATGGAACTGTGCTCCAAGCCTACCTGCATTTTTGAGTATGTTTTTAATAGTATAGCAAAGAAGACCAAATCTTGTGAGACTTCACAGACATCATGGGCAAAATGTTAAATAGAAATCTGTGAAATACTTCCTGTAGTAATAGCAGAAACTACCACAAAATATGATCTTAATGACAAGAACCATTCCTATCACATAGTCCACCTATATCAACACACAGGAGCAGCAAATACCAAACATACACCTCAGATCAATACACAGAATGAAGTTCAAGTTCTCACTTAATGTTCATCTACAGTAGGGGTTGGTCAAATATGGCCAATAGTCCACAAAAGTCATCCAGGGACTTTGTTCTATCCTTCACGGTCGTCTGGATCTCCCAAAATCTCTGTACATGCTATCAAATCTTGAGGCATTCCTTCTAAATATAGTCAGTCCTTTATGTTCAAAGATTCAACCATCCACAGCTTGAAAATATCCCTTCATACTTAAGAATACAAAAAAGAACTCAGTGGGAAAACCAGAAATCCCTTCTGCTAAGGCTTTTCAGTCACTTTTGGGCAATGCAGCCTACCATGCGTCTATGAGGGTAAAGTCTTCCATGCACGTACTCCACCTGGCTCTGGTGTACAGTATAACTGACCACTGCATCGCATGTATACAAGATTACCATAATCTAAGTAATGATAATTCTATGCAATCCTTCAAACACAAAAAACCACAGAGCCTATTACGGCAATATCCAACTCCAAACAGTAGCTAACAGAGGACTGTGTAATATTTTCAATCTGAATAGAAGAACAAGACCTTTTCTGTTCCACATACAGATACAGGACATAAAACAGAAGTACTAAAGGAGGCAGTTTCAACCAGTTTCAACCAACTACAGGGGTTTCACTATGTAGCACTCAAATGTGACTCTTGGACAATGTATTTTATTCATATGAAAGAGGCTCTCACTTCCTGCCTACCTACATGACATATTTCCCAACAATACCAAATGATGTCAGTTTCAAAATGAAGAAATAAGAACTGTATCTTGAGGAGAACCAAACTCCCATCTGACTGCTGTCTTAAGGGGAACTAATGAAGTGCCAAAGCAACAGCTCTGCTCAGCTTCTTTTATACCTTCAATAAATTTTGTGCAAATTCATCTGCCATTCTTTCTTAAGTTTGCCTGCAATTTTCCCTTTCTTTTTCCCTACTTACACAATCAACTTGCTTTTATAACAGTAACACATTTTACAAAATCAGACACAGTGAAAACCTAATTTAGTACTTACTGCATTTGAGAATGTCATCCCCATCTCTGCAATGAGGGCATTGGTCTTTTTCAGTGGTGTCTGTAATAAAAAAAAGATGGTAGTAGGAGTCTAGAAAAATGTGTTTATGGTTGGAGCTCTACATATAGAAGGAGGTATGACCTGCTGTACAGACAACACAGGTAGGATTACATTGCTGCATTTTTTCCAGGTCAGGTTTTGAGCATTGTACAAAGACAGTTTTTACTTAGATTAATTTTCCATTCTGTTTTTTTTCTTGTTTAACAATTAAGAAACCCTTGCTTGTATTTCAAAAGCAGAGGCTCTTTCATTGAAAAAAAATTAACAACCTCATATATATTAGATTTCCTGTCAATCAATTATTGAGCCACTGCCATTTAATATATTGCCACAGTTATCTCTTCCCATATTAAACTGAAACAATTTATTCAATTCATCAAGTATTTTACCAATGCCAAGCAACTACTATTAGGAATCAAATGCATAAACAAATTAAAATAACCTTTTAATCTATGTTTATTCAGAAGTAAGTCTGAGTTCAATGGGCCATGTTCCTAACTATGGGTATTCTTTCTAAAATGTATCCACCAATAAATTCTGCAGAGGAAACCTACAGTATCAAATATGTAACAAATTAAAACATTTATTAATTTAAAAAGTTCTATTCTGAGGCCCTAACAGATATTGCCAATAATACAAAAACTCCTCCCTTGATAGCAGCTCTTTTAAAAAAATACAAGCAAACAAACAAACAAAAAACAGGGGAAAAAACCCCTCTCCATGGTAATTTTTGATGCTTGAGTTAACAGAAAGTGCGCTGGAAGAAAGTCAATTGTCCTTGGAAGAATGTGCTCAAAAGCCTTACAACATTCCTCAAATAAGCAAGAGTATTTCTACATCCTGCACTATTTTACCAATGATAAAGTTGAACAGATCACACTGGAAAAGAATAATCCTTTAAAGGAAAAAGTAGTTATTTTAAAGCTCCAACAAACTGTTCATTGCACTGATATATAATGCAAATTATTGCATGTGAATTATCTTAATGTGTTTCAGAGGAAAGACCTGTGCATAGAAGACAATCAAAATCATGGGCAAACTATCCATGTTGTCTCTCAAATTAAAAGAAGCCAATTCCACTCACTGCCTAACACGTAAGTGACACTCTATCACCACCTGTACTCTGTACATGTGGCCTGTGATGGATATAGCAATCACTGCCCCCTGTATAATATGGCAGGTGTGTGCATTTCCTCTTTCCCCCCATTCTTCTATATTGAGGGTACTATATTCCAGATCACTAAAGTGCACTGAAATGTAAATGCTTCCCTTTGACTCTGAAAACCATGGTTTGAATACCCAAGGATCTTGGGCAAGTCATATTTTTTCCACCTCAGAGGAAGACAAAGATAAATTCTTTCTGAACAAATCTTGCCACGATAACCATGATAGGTTAGCATCAAGGCACACATAATTCAAAAACTATTTGAAGGCACACAACAAGGCCAACCCAAGCCCTTTTGCTGCTCAAAACCAACCCCAAAAGGTGCCACAACCAAAAATTAAGGTCCACAATACAAATAATGTTCCAGCCATTTTGGCAGCTTGAGCAGAAACTCCTACATATTACTTAGGACTAAATAAATAAATAATAAAAGTAACACTGCTGTTTTTTTCCCCCTGGAAGCATATCCAGAGGTACCTTTTATTAATTTTGTTATATTCAGAAAAATACAACAAAATCCATAAAAGTGTGATACCTTACTGGACAAACTAAATGCACAAAATATAACATGCAAGCTTTTGAAGAGCCCCTGGCTTATTCATCAGTCAAAAGATGCCAATGGAGCTGAAAACTTGATTGATGCACTGTGTGCATTTTGGTTGACCATAAAATGGTATCACTGTTTTGTGGATCTTGTTGTACTCTGCCAAAATCATTTTCCTGAAGCAGAAAGCAATGAGATGGGGGCAGGCCCACTCCAGTGATCTTGTGCACAGAACCTAAGAACTTGAAGAAGGTTTTGAAATCTGAAGTCTCTCAAATACCTAAGAAAAGGTCTTTGTAACATTCCTTCCACCTCAGTTACTTCACCTCCAATTCTACAGGTTCCAATACTAGAATGGCTAGAGTAGTTACTTCTCTATTGGATGGGAGACCACCAAGAGATACCAGGAGCTGTAGGTTCTATTTCAGAGGCAGGAAAAGACAGACTCACCTTTAAATGTTCCTTGTCTAAGAAAACCTTATGAATTTCATAGGGTTGCCATAAGTATACAGGTGACTTGAAGGCACACAGATAAGCACACAGAGGGAATTTGCTACAGTGTATTGCAATCTCAGTCCTGGCTAAAGGATGAATTGACAATTCTTCTGTGACATTATCCATAAGTAAGGAAGCATATTTAGATGTAGTTGTGTTGGCCATTCAGCAAAATACAACACAATTCAAATGATACCTCTGTTGACCAACCAAAATGCACAAAATAAATCTATGACTTTACCATCATTACCTTTATTTTCTTGCATGATTTAAAATATATTTTGCCTGATGAAGAGACCACTGGACCTTCAAAAGTCTGCACAGTGTACTTTTTATATTGCAGCAGGCCAATCATGACATCACTTTTTTGTGAATTTTGGATTTTGTCCTACAGGTTGATAACCCTTCACTGTATTTCTGAACTGCACCAAAACTGCCTACTTGGGTGGCTGAAACAGTGACACCTTTGCTTTCTGATGGTTCAATGTACACATACTTTTAAAGTGTAACATAAAATCACCTTCAGTATATGTATTTGAGGTCTATATAAAACAAAACTGATTTTGTGTTTAGACTTGGGTCCAAGTCTCAAAGATAGCTCCCTCCCTCCCTCCCTCCCCCCCCCCCTCTCTCTCTATATATATATATCTGCAAATACAGGTATTAAAAAATCTGGGGGAAAATCCAAAACACTTCTGGTCCCAAGCATTTTGGATAAGGGATAATCAATGTGCATTTCACCAATTTCAGAGAGAGATTCCCACTGAAGTCTTGGATCTCCCCTCCAAGGTCCAGCAACTCCTAAAGATAAAGAGGGTTGTAGGGGGGAGTGGCAGTGGAGGAAAAGGACATGGATCTGCTGAAGCCACAGACCTAACAGTGCCAAACTAGATAAGCAGAAATATAGTTACATCGTCTTAGGAGGTGTCTAATTCATTTCCCTCCCAACGGAGGGATTATTTAGCAGCATGGAGAATGGAAACACTTGCAAATCGCACCCAGCCAAGAGTCACGGGGAGCTTGGCATTGAACTTGCGTCCAGATCAGTGTGTCCAGACTACTAGGCTCCTGGCTCTGAAGACTGCTGACTAAATCCAGATGATTTTTTGAAATTATGGATTTAAATTATATGATGGTTGTTTTTTAAATATATATATGTATCAATTTTATATGTGCTTTTAAATGTATAAATTGCTTTCAGACCTCACAATCTCTGAGGATGCCTGCCATAGATGCAAAACGTCAGGAGAGAATGCTGCTAGAACATGGCCATACAGCCCGGAAAACTCACAGCAACCCAGTGATTCTGGCCATGAAAGCCTTCGACAATACATCCTTTCAAATATATAAACATTGCTATCATGTCCCCTCTCAGTCTTCTTTTCTCCAAACTATAAATAGCCAGCTCCTTAAGCCACTCCTCATAGGGGCTTGGTTACCAAACCTCTGATCGTTTTTTGGCCGCCTTTCTCTGGAAGTTCAGCTTCCCTGAGGACTGAGGCCCTTTCCACACAGCTGAACTGGAATATATGGTAGTGTAGACTCAGATATCCCAAATTCAATGCAGATATTGTGGGATTTTCCGCCTTGATCTTCTGGGTGATATGGCTGTGTGGAAGGGCCCAGAGCAGAGCAGAATAGAGTGGGAAGGCTGACTTCCCTCGATTTAGGCAAGATTGATGTACTTTGGAATCGCATTGGTCCTTTTAGCTGCAGCATTACACTGTTGACTCAGCTTGTGGATCCAGAAGAAGTATTTTGCAATAAATCATATGAATGAATGTAGTTTGAGGAGGGAAATGAGGGTTTCCTCTAGAAGCCAAGTCAGGCTACTACTAATCAATAAATGTAGTTTGAGGGGAGAAGGGTTTTCTCTAGAAAGCCAGGCCTCACCTGCACTGTCATACAACGCAGCTCCAAACTGCATTATATGGCAGTGTAGATGGGGCCCCGGGCAGGTAAATTGAGTCTCAAGGGTGCCAGACTCACCCATCTCCCCCCACCCCCCCAAGGTAGCGGATTTCTCCTTCCATCCTCCCCTCAAGGCGAGATTACCATTCCTCCCAGCTGGGTGTCCTGGTCGTCGGTGAGGATGAGGACCACATTGGGCTTCCTGGCTCTGACGGAGGACGCCTCGCAGACGGTTCCAAGGGCCAAGAAGGCGAAAAGCAGCAGCCGGGGCCGGAAAAGGGGAGGCGAAGAGGAGGAGGAGGAAGCGGCGTCTTGAGGCCCCATCTTGTCAGCGTCGGGAGAAAAAGAGCAGGAGCGCACGAGACCCGCACCTGAGGAAGGGAGGGAGAGAGAGCGAGCGCGCGCCCGCGTCACGAGAGAAAGATGCGCGCGCGCCCTCCGCTTTCTCCGCTTTCCTCCTCCCTCTTCTTCTTCTTCTTCTGCGACGCTGAGCAGCGCGAGCCCCGCCCCCTCGCTGAGGAGCCAAAGTTAGAGGCAGGATCACATGACCGGGAGTCGGGCTGCGTGCCCCGCCCACTGGCTCTGAGAGGCTCCTCCCCGTTTTCCCTTCCCACAACAAACCTCCTCATCACCCTTGCTTTGCTTTCCTCATGGCTCCCAAGCGCGCCCCTTGTCGGCTGCACCTAAAGGCATGGGCAAACTTCCAATGCACCTCCCACAATTATAAGAGCCTACATTGCTATATATTCCAGTTCAAAGCAGATAATGTGGGATTTTATCCAGCTGTATGGATAATCCAGTTCAAAGCAGATATTGTGGATTACTTGCCTTGATATTCTGGATTATATGGCTGTGTGGAAGGGCCCTTTGTAGTTTATTCGTTCAGTCTCTTCCGACTCTTCATGACCATATCCCTGTCAGCCTTGACCACTCCCAGCTCCTTCAAGGTCAAGCCAGTCACTTCAAGGATGCCCTCTTCCTTTTTCCTTCCATTTTCCCCAGCATCATTGCCTTCTCTAAGCTTTCCTGTCTTCTCATTATGTGGCTAAAGGACTTCATCCTTGCCTCTAATATCCTTTCCTCCAATGAGTAGTCAGGCTTTATTTCCTGAAGTGTGCCGTCACACCCAGACGCTATAACGTTAAAACTAAGATGTGCTTCTCTCTATCTGGGCGAACTGCTGGGGGTCTTTCTTTGAAGCAATAACTCAATACTTTCAGCAACTGATGCCAGTCAAGATATGAAAATAAACAAAATATTTATTTCCAAAGTCCTTGGCAGACTTGGCACAGCTTGTTAAAGTTACAACACAAACAGTCAATTTGAGAAACCACGGAGATGTTCTTTCTTTTCCTTTTTCTTCAATTACTGAGGTAACCTTTCTCCAAATGGTAGAAAACATCCTGAGATGTTTCACCCTAACCCTGAGCTGCTCTGGTTAGAAAGAACAGGTCTTCCCCTATCTAAGCACATAGTCGGTTTTGAAGATGAAGTAATGCTCAACAGCACTCAATACCTATTTCTCTCTATTTCTCAATAATTCAATTACTCAATTACTATCTCCATATCTTAATATCTCTCTCTCTATAACTCAATACCTATTCTATCTATCTATCTATCTATCTATCTATCTATCTCAGTATCTCAATTGCTATTCTATCTCGATTGTACTCACAATGGGTTTTTCAGAGCTCCCTGCCTGACCAACAGCACATCTGAGGCTTTTTTTCTCAACTGAAGGAGGCAGGGGAGATTCCAAAATGGAGATCTCAACCCCAGGAAAAAGGACGGACTCCAATCCCAAAGAGATACTTTCTAAACTAAGCCTGCAGCCTGGCTTTCCAGGCTCTGATACTGTTTAACTTCCAGGGTGCTGCTGGGTCTGTAGCAACCCTGGGGAAATGCAAAGGAATGCTATCCCATGCACCTAAAAGGCAATGTAAACCATGGTCCTGGAAGATGGAACATGAAGTATGGACTGGTTGGATCTTCTCGCAGTTGGGACTCAGCCTGTGTTTCACCCAGAATCTGTTATAGTGTTTTCCCCTTCTAATGTTTCTGAGCCTGTCTTGGATGTCAATGAGGATGAGGTGCAAAATGGAGACACTTTGGACAATAAGGTTACTACAGACTCCGATCGAGAAGGGTCAGGGGAAAGGCTAAGCTCTCATGAGAAAATTCCAGGCTCGAGTTTGCAGCAAAGTTCACTCCCTTCTCCTGGCTCGAGTCTGAAAGATAAATTCACACCTGCAGCTAACGAAGAGGTAGATAAGACCAGTCGCAGGCTGGAAATTAGCCAGAACTGTTGGGAGGCCCAATGTTTATGCAGGTCAGAAAGAATCCAGCAATTAAAGTCAAAGACGGGAGTAGAAATCAGTTTCTGGGACTTAAATTGAGCTCTTAGGAAATTTCCTTCAGACCAGGCATCGTTTGGTTTTCAAGTCAAGTCTTTTGGATATTCTTGTGGTCTAGGTTTCCTGGCTTTTCAAGTGGATTAGCAGTGGTTATGTTCATGGTTTTTATGAAAGGCATTTGATATTTCTTTGCATCTGGATTTAAACAGCAAGCTTTTGGGATCTTTGATATTATTCCTATGTTTGGACACTATTATTGTTTTTGTTTATTTTGCTTTTTACTTTTGGACTCTTATCAACTCTATATTCATCTCTTTTATTGGCTCCAATTATTCTTCAAATAAAGATTACTCTTTTTCATCTAAGGTGTGGTGTAATTAATGATTAGAGGGTCCTGTTCCTACTCTGGGGTGCAACACTCACGGTCCAAGGCACTCTCAGAATTTTCCTCCAACACCACAGTTAAAAAGCATCTCTCTTCCTTTGCTCAGCCTTCCAGCTCTTCAAGGTCAAGCCAGTCACTTCAAGGATGCCATCCATCCATCTTGCCCTTGGTCGGCCCCTCTTCCTTTTTCCTTCCTTTTCCCCCAGCATAATTGACTTCTCCAAGCTTTCCTGTCTTTTACTTTGGCTTTCCTGTGTGGCCAAAGTACTTCATCTTTGCCTCTAATATTCTTTCCAATGAGCAGTCAGGCTTTATTTCCTGGAGTATGGACTGGTTTGATCTTCTTGTGGTCCAAGGCACTCTCCGAATTTTCCTCAAGTACCACAGTTCAAAAGCATCTCTCTTCCTTTGCTCAGCCTTCTTTACGGTCCAGCTCTCACATCTATTGGTTACTATGGAGAATACCATTGCTTTGACTATGCGGATCTTCATTGCCAGTGAGATGTCTCTACTCTTCACTATTTTATCGAGATTGGTCATTGCTCTCCTCCCAAGAAGTAAACGTCTTCTGATTTCCTGGCTGCAGTCTGCATATGCAGTAATCTTTGTGCCTAGAAATACAAAGTCTGTCACTGTCTCCACGTTTTCTCCCTCTATTTGCCAGTTATCAATCAGTCTGGTTGCCATAATCTTTTTTTTAATGTTTAACTGCAATCCAGCTTTTGCACTTTCTTCTTTCACTTTGATTAGAAGGCTCCTCAGCTCCTCCTCACTTTCAACCATCAAAGTGGTATCATCTACATATCTAAGGTTGTTAATGTTTCTTCCAGAAATGTTGACTCCAGCCTTGGAGTCATCAAGTCCTGCACATTGTATGATGTGTTCTGCGGCCCTAAGGGCCCTTAGACTTCTGGAGATTAGGGTTCAAATTCTTAATTAGCTGTACGCGAGTCACACTCTCTCAGCCTAAAAGGAAGGCAACAACAACCCCCTTCTGAGTGCATCTTGCCAAGGAAATCCAATGATTGAGATCACCACAAAGGCAATAAATAACAACAAACAGCCAAACACAAACATATTTTGTTCAATATACATTAAGGACACTAAACACTTTTAAAAAATAGTTTAAATTCACTAACCCCCCCCCCCCCCATTTTAATGCTGTTTTAGGACTTGTATTTGCTTCAGTAAATGAAGCACTTGGCTACAAAGTTAGCTTATTAAATTAATTGCTTACTTGGAATTACAATGACGATCCACATTTCTTAAGGGATCCAGTTCACTTCCAAATGCCACATCATTCATTGCTCTGTTCTTGGCACATTCCTATTGCTTTCTGCATGCATTCTGCACAATCAGGTAATTTAATCAGTTCAGTTCAGAGATGCAGCAGAATGAGCCACCGACTCACAAAGGAGGCTCTGAAGGGCTATGTCCTACCTATCAAAATAGCAACAAATGTAGTGCTGTAAGACTGAACTTCAAAGCACAAGGAAGAGTGTCTAGTTTTCACATTATGTTCTGAAACTCAGTGACAACCGTGTTGCCTTTAGATCAAAGCTCTGAAGACGTTAATGATTAGCCTTATCAATAGGGAGAGAAAGATACGGAATTTCTTTCCCCAAAATATTTAATTTTTTAAGAGAAAGATGTCTTTTTTGTCTTTTCAAAATGCCAGGAAAAGTGTCTTAAAGAGTACATCAATTTAACAAGCTGAGAATTTATTTATTTACAGTATTTATATTCTGCTCTTCTCACCCCGCAGGGGACTCATGGCAGATTGTAACACACATATACACGGCAAACATTCAATTGTATGTTAGACATACAACACATATATACAGACACAGAGGCAATTTATTATGGGTCCATCTCAACACTATAGAATTAATGCAGTTGGACTACTGTGACTCAGTGTTATGGGATGCTGGGAGTTGTTGTTTTACAGGGTCTTCAGCCCTCTCTGCCAAATAGTGCTGCAGCCTCACCAAACTACAACTCCCATGATTCCATAGCATTGAGTTGTGACAGTTAAAATGGTGTCAAACTGCATTACTTCTAGTGTAGGTACACCCTAGGAAGAAAGGCTATTAGATACAGTTAAAATAAGCATGAAATGCATGAAATGGGTAAATATATGTTGTGGAGATAATGGATTGAAAAAATATCAGTTGGAGTTGAATCTGTGGTCTTTTAGATGTGGTTGGTCTACAGTTTTCACCAATACTTAGCATTGGCTAATCGGGGCTGATTCAGTCTGGCCATATCTCAAGATCCAAATATTTACCAGTCTGCTATAGAAATTAACAGAACATGGCTAGAAAGGTTTTGCTCCCTTTCATTAAAGTAAAATTTAGAGGTGAAATTGATTGATTGGAGATCCAAGACAGAGAAAAGTCAGGCAATAGTTTTGATGGCTTTAAAGGCAGTTTAGATAAACTAATGGCAAACAAACATTTCACTGGCTTTTAGACACTGAGTTCAGAATACCAGATCGTATTACCTATTAGCAAGCACCATTGATCTCAGAATTTAATTCTCAGTATATATGCTTAGGATTACATTTGATAACTTTATATGAAAATGGAACTGGAGCCGAGGAGCTTCTACTATTATAGAGTCATAGAATTATAGAGTTGAAAGAGACCTCATGAGCCATCCATTCCAAGCCCCTGTCAAGAAGCAGGAAAATCACATTCAAAATTGCATTTATATCAATTGACAAATGGTGGAGTTATTTTGTCTTAATAATAATATGCTTTATTTATGGATAATGATTTTAACAGGATGACATCGGTGATTATATGTTTTTAGAAAGGGCCATAGATGAAACAATAGGAAAACAAGGAGAGTTCCGTGGTTTTTGGTTTTTTGTAGTGTCAGGAGCAACTTGAGAAACTGCAAGTCGCATCTGGTATGAGAGAATTGGCCGTCTGCAAGGATGTTGCCCAGGGGATGCCTGGATGTTTTGATGTTTTACCATCCTTGCAGGAGGCTTCCCTCATGGCCCCACATGAGGAGCTGGAGCTGATAGAGGGAGCTCATCCACGCTCTCCCCGGATTCAAACCTGCAACCTGTCAGTCTTCAGCCCTGCCGGCACAGGGGTTTAACCCACTGCGCCACTGAGGGCTCCATATTTCCATGTTCAGCCTGCTCGATAACAGTCTATGAATGATGCAAAGCAACCCTACGGAAAGAGGAGGGACCAGGGGAAGTTGAAAAATAAACACACAGAGAAAACTAAATTTAAGGGTGAATTGATTTAAAAAGAAACAGCTTTCTTAACAATGCATCTATGTTCCAAAAGTATGGGGATGGGTTTTGGTTGTTTGGATTAGAACGATGGAAGCTGTAATACAGTGAAATAACACTGTTGCTGGATTTTTTTATTGTTTGCAGCGCTCTGCTGGAGTAATTCTGCTTCTAGGCTTTCTCCTCTGGAGATCTTCAAAATATAGCAATCTTGCTCCCTTTTAAAACGAGTTCCTCCTCCACTTCTACTGTGCCAACAACTGTCACTATAAATATTCCACATGGCTCTGTAAACTACTGACAACAGATGAAAGCTATTATGTACATGATTGTTCTAAATATGAGAGGCTATTTCCTAACAGCCGACTGGCTGTTAGGAATTGTGGGAGTTGAAGTCCAAAACACCCGGAGGGCCGAAGTTGGCCCATGCCTATTGTAAAAGCACCACTTTGCCTGAAACTAAAGGCAGAAGCTTGAGGCGGGCTATTATCCACTTTGAAGTCTGCCGGCGGAGAAGAGCGGTGACTAGAAGGGTTCTGATTGGCTGGCGGCAGCAGGTGCCTCAATCCCCGGTACAGAGCGGACCGTTCCATTGCCGGGAGAGGGGCGTGCCAGCTGAGAGAGCGCGGAGCCTCCAATTCGAGGGAAAGAGGTTTCCCTCCACTTTCTCTCATGCCTCCCCCGTCGCGGCAACAATGCGCCCAACCCGGAACTCTAGCTTTCTCTGCCAGCTGCTGCTGCGAGCGCCTTGTTTCTCCTCCTCCTCCTCCTCCTCCTGTTCCTGCTTCTTCGCATGGCTGCGTGGATCGGCATCCCAGGCGAATGGAGCTCGCGGAAGTCAGCCTGGCCGACGACGGAGGGCGCCGAGAAGCAGAGCCCGCCAAGGCCCGGCGTGGAAGCAGCGCAGACAGCCTGGAGGGCGAGGAGGAGGCGGAGGAGGAGGTGCGGAGGGCCAGCCGCGCCTCCTCGCTGGTCAGCGGACTCTTGACGGAGCTCTACAGCGCGGGGCGGTGGTCCTGGCACCGGGGAAGCGTGGACAGCTCCACCGAGGCTTCCGCCGGCTCCGACGCCTTTCCCAGCGGGCGCACCGAGTCCCGCGCCCTGCAGGAGCTTCAGCGGAGGCCCGGCCCCCGCCACCAGAGGCAGTACCTGGCCCGGAAAGGTGAGAGAGAGAGACAGAGAAGGAAGGGTGGGCGCCCGCGCAGTTAAGGCCCTGCTCCTCCTCCAGCCCTCCTTGGGCTTCCCAGATTTCCTCTTCCTTGGCCAATATGGCAAGGGAAGGGGACCTCTAGGGAAAAGTGGAAGGACAGGCTTATTATGGGAAAGTACTTTCTATGCCCCACCTCGGAGCTTAAGATCTTCTGGGGAGGCCCAGCTCTTGGCCCCGCCTTTGTCTCAAACACGTTTGGCGGGGACGAGGGACAGGGCCTTCTCGGTGGTAGCCCCCCGCCTGTGGAATTCGCTTCCCGGAGAAATTAGGACATTGACATCTCTCCTCACCTTTAGAAAGAAGGTAAAAATGTGGTTGTAGGGCCAAGCCTTCGGCTTGGAAGTGGATTTGGATAAGTTAAGTGGAGTAATCATCAGTATATGGCTAGGTAAATAGCCACCAGACTGGCAATAGCTAAACTTAGCTTAGTATACTGTTTAATCTTTATTTCTTAATGTTCATGTTTTTAATTGTTATATTTGCTATTTTGTATTTTATGATGCGGCATTGAATTATTGCCAATTGGAAGCTGCCCTAAGTCCCCCTAGGGCAGTGGTTCTCAACCTGGGGTCCCCAGATGTTTTTGGCCTACAACTCACAGAAATCCCAGCCAGTTTACCAGCTGTTAGGATTTCTGGGAGTTGAAGGCCAAAAATATCTGGGGACCCCAGGCTGAGAACCACAGCCCTAGGGGTTGAGCAAATCATCCAGTGGTTTTTGGGTTATGCTAATCCCACAAAGAAACATTACATTTTTATTTATTTAGAAGAGATATATATATATATATATATACTCAGTATTGTAGCCAGAAAAATTTGGGTGTGCGTGTGTGAAAATTTCTTTTAGTGAATCATGAATAGTAACTCTATAACACAAAATAATTTAAATAGCATGGTTTATTCTATATTTTATGTAGACTTAATTAAATCAATTTAATTTTTTTCCTCATAGACTTAGCATGGATATTTGGTTAACCAGTTTAAATTAAATTAATGAGTAAACCAGTTTTTTTTTAACTTGAAAAATTTTGGGATGGGAGGATTGAATCCCTACCCCGCTTCCCCAGCAACAGCCCTGTATAAACTTTCCCATAAAATAACTTAGAATCATAGAATCATAGAGTTGGAAAGACCTCATGGACCATCCAGTCCAACCCCCTGTCAAGAAGCAAGAAAATTGCCTTCAAAGCACCATCAACCGATGGCCATCCAGCCTTTGTTTAAAAGCCTCCAAAGAAGGAGCTTCCACCACACTCCAGGGCAGAGAGTTCCACTAATGAACAGCTCTCCATATTAGGAAGTTCTTCCTAAAGTTCAGGTGGAATCTCCTTTCCTGTAGTTTGAAGCCATTGTTCCACGTCCTAGTCTCCAGGGCTGCAGGAAACAAGCTTGCTCCCTATGACTTCCCTTCACATGGCCATCATCGTATCCTCTTTCATTCTTTTCTTCTGCAGGCTAAACATGCCCAGTTCTTTAAGCCACTCCTCATAGGGCTTGTTCTCCAGACCCTTGATCATTTTAGTCGCCCTCCTGTGGACACATTCCAGCTTGTCAACATCTCTCTTTAATTGCGGTGCCCAGAATTGGACACAGTATTCCAGGTGTGGTCTGACCAAGGCAGAATAGAAGAATAGCATGACTTCCCTGGATCTAGACAGTAGACTCCTATTTATGCAGGCCAAAATCCCATTGACTTTTTTAGCTGCCATATGTTTTATATCATGTGCTCAAGAGACAAAGATGAGGTAGACTAATTTTTTTAAATGTCAGGAGCGACTTTAGAAACTACAGATCACTTCTGGTGTGAGAGAATTGGGCGTCTGCAAGGACGTCACCGAGGGGACACCCAGATGATTATGTTTTGCCATCCTTGTGGGAGGCTTCTCTCATGTCCCCGCATGGGGAGCTGGAGCTGACAGAGGGAGCTCAACCCACTTTCCCCAGATTTGAACCGTTGACCTGTCAGTCATCAGTCCTGCTGGCACAAGGGTTTAACCCATTGCGCCACCGGGGGCTCCTGGGTAGACTGATAAAAATAACGTATTTGGTATACTCACAATTTTCATGTGTTTGGCTTACAAAGGTACAAAACTTATGAGTTCAGTTTCAGATATGTTTGAGATAATTCTCTGTGCCATACAGCCAGGGCAACTCTCTTATAACAAAACAGCTACCAACAGTTCACATAGACCATTTGGGGTCAGGACCCACAGTTTAAGAAGCAGTGCTCTAGGAAATAGTGGGGGCAGGCTAGGCCTATAAGTAAGGTATCAAAAACTATAACTTCATAAAAGTTAAGTATTCCTTATCGGGAATTCCAGAATACTCCAAAATCATCCTAGTGGGTGGCCTTTTTTCTTCCTTGGCCAATAATTTTGTCTTCCTTGAGTAATAATGCAAAGGAAAAGAAACCTCTAGGAAAGGAGGTACGAATCTTGGAAAAAAGCACAGTAAAGAGCCTGATTAACACATGTTGGGCATCCCGAAAGATTCCAGATTTATCCTCATGAGTGGTTGCTTTCTGATGATTCAGTGAGCACAAACTTTGTTTCACACGCACAATTATTTAAAATATTGTGTATGAAATTACCTTCAGACTGTGTGTATAAAGTGTAGATCAAGAAATTTCATGCATCCCATCTCCAAGAGATCTCATTCTGTATATACAAGTATTTCAAGATACAGAATACTTCTGGTCATGAGCATTTCAAATTAAGTTACTCAACCTGCATCTGGTTTCCTTAACCAAGAATGTGACCGCATCTCAGAGAAAAGGCAGTAAGCAGGAAGCAATTGCGCAGATAGGTATCAATGACGATCTGCCCATGTTGGCAGAGGACTGCTTTCTTTATTATTTATATGTTCCAGAAATAAGGGTTCAGTATAAACCATACTAACTCCTATTGCCCTCCCAGTCCTTTGAGTACTTACACTTAGAGCTTAGCAAAGTGATCTTTTTGCCATTAAAATTCACAATCTCTCCAAAATTGTAACTAGTGGCTGTACTGGCTGGATCTGAAAAAGCAACTTTTCCAAACTGTTTAAGTTAGGAGTTTCCTTGTCAACACAAGTTTTTCTTCTTTTTCCTTTTTTAAATGCAGTTCTTGTATTTCATGTGGAGATCCTGTTTTCTTTCTGCAAAACCTGTCTTTTTCCTTCAGCGTTTCCTTGTTCTTCTTCCAACTTTTTTCTTAGCTATGCCATTGTTTGGAACCCTTTATCATATTTGTTAATCACTAAACAGTACTACACGACACACATTTTGTAAATCTACCTGTGGCGAATGATGACAGCATGATTAGAGGAGCAAATGCCCAACTTTGTTTTCATTTTCCTCCCTTCTTCATCATCACCTTTAACGGGGAAGTAACATATGACTGGAGTTTGTTAGATTAAGAGCCACCGCAAACTAGCCTCCTGCGAGAGCAAACTGTGCCAGCAGGTCCGATGACGTTGAAGACTCCGCCTCTTTCTCCGTGTCAGCATGGTTTTTCCTTTGCTAGGGCAGCTATGCCAGCGTACTCTCGCTGTTGAATTCTGCCAACAGCGAGAGTACGCTGGCATAGCTGCCCTAGCAAAGGAAAAACCACGCTGGCACGGAGAAAGAGGCGGAGAGAGAGGCGGAGTCTTCAGCGTCATCGGACCTGCTGGCACAGTTTGCTCTCACAGGAGGCTAGTTTGCGGCGGCTCAAAGATCTGGATTTGTGGTGATGACACATCAACTGTGCCTCATTTAGTCAAATCGCCCCAAAGTTTCCAACAGTTTTAAAAAAGCCATAAATAGAAATATGGAATTAAGCCAAAACTTGCTTTATCTTGCCATCATGTTTTCCCACCACATTCTTCAAAGTGTGTACAATATTCTGTAGCTGACAACGTCTTGTGCTAAGTAAATATTTACCAGAAAGAACTGTCTGAGGAGTTATCACATATCGCTTTACCTGCTGTTGATACTTATAATGACAACAGTTTATATGACTTTGTATAATAGGTGGATTACTAAAATGGAATTTGCATGTTCAGCCTGTATGCTGTTAGGAATTGTGGGAGTTGAAGTTCAAAACACTTGGAGGGCCGAAGTTTGCCCATGCCTGATCTATAAGGTTTGGATCTTAGACTGTGGCTTTCCAAAGGTTGCTGTATTCTGGTTCCTGTTATTACTGATCGTCCAGACTAGTGCTGAAAGTTACAAAGATAATCTGACCGATCTTGGGTAGCTCAGTTGAGATTAGAGGGTAATGTTACAGACACCAAAACAAATGGATACAATTATTGTAAAAGCCACATTAAATCATTTGGGATTTTGCTCAGTGGTAGATTTTTTTGTTTTTCTGTTAGAAAAGTATGATATTAAATTAATGAGTGCCTCTGATTGACAGAGTCATTGGTGGGAATTATATCCTTTTGAAGAATGCCACAGTTTCTGGTGATATGTGGCACTCTTGGTGCATTCTTGTAATCATAATTAGACATGATAACTAGTGTTGTATAACAGCTGTTTTGCCTACTTATTGATTTATGGGCATCATAACTGTATATATTTTGTAACTTTCTTGACCTTTAACATCTTTTTGCAACAGAACAAACTGAGCCACAAATGTTCAGCTTCAGTTCTTTCCTTACATACCAGATGTTAAATAATTGATGATTTACCTGTTAACGTTCACCATGCTCTTATTACCTAGATAACACTATATAACAAATTTTGTAAAACGATCTCTTCCTGGTTTGAAAGTGTTATTTCCTGTTTAATTGTGCAGTACTTACTTTCAAAGTGATTGTTATACTGCAGAAAATTTGTTTTTGTGGCTGTCACAAGCTATGTTGAATTGGTTGGGATGCTATGAGATATTAATTGAAAAACTATAGCAAAATATATTGCAGAATGTTCTGCAAAAACAAAGTTTTTGCAATTTAATAAACTTTTCCCATATTTTTATGACTGAACTAATC